AGCCCTATAAACCTAAATCGCTCAACCCAAGTAGTCTTGGTAGTGGTACCCTTTTCCTTTTTTCTGGTTCTGGTTCCCTTATAAGGTAACCAACCAAAAAAGGGTGCCCTTATTATAATATGGTTACTGGGGTACCAAGAAGTCGCCGGAAGGATGAAGAGATCAGCAACGCGCGGAAGACGCTCTTCCACAGGTGGCAGTCTGGTCTGGTTTAGGGTTCACGGCATTGTTTTAAGGCTTAGGGCTTAGGGCTTAGGTCTTAGGGCTTAGGGTTTGCTGGGCACGTCAGCAGAAGAAGCAGGTTCAGGGTTCACATCCAGGTTTCTTGGGTAGTTCTCTGATTACTATATACAGGACTCAAAAAGGGTGCCCTACTTCCGAGAACTAGAACTACCCAGTTTGTTTTCGCGGGTTTTCCACTCCAATGTCCAGCAGGCTCCCCTGGCCTCGGGTGAGAGCAGGACTCTAAGCCCTGAAGGCCTGAACCCTAAACCCTAAACCCTAAACCCGAAACCCTAAACCCTGAACCCTGAACCCTAAACCCTAAACCCTAAGCCCTAAGCCCTAAGCCCTAAGCCCTAAGCCCTAAGCCCTAAGCCCTAAGCCCTAAGCCCTAAACCCTAAACCCTGAGCCCTACAGGAGGACTCAGTTTCAATCAGCACCCCGGAGGGACATACGCAGAGCCCCCCCACAGCTCATGGGGGGTTTCGGGGCACTTTTTTTTGGCCTTGGGGGGGTGCTCTCTGAGTTTGTATGGATACTTGTAGGTTCATGGCACTTTTTACCCAGCTAGAACTGGTTAATAAGCACCATGAACCTCCAAGTATGGGTTGAAAGGTACAGGCATGTCGGTTCAGGGTTCGGTTCGGCTGTAGGCTTGGGGCTTAAGATCATTAGGCCTTATCAGGGGCACTCCCCTAACCCCAAACCGAAACCCTGAACCCCAAACCCTAAACCCTAAACCCCAAACCCCAAACCCTAAACCCTAAACCCTGACAGGGGTTCCGGGAATGCCCCCGGAAGGTCCTCGCACGACGGCAAGAACAAAGCGCGCGGCCGGTGCCGATGGTGCTGCTGCCCGCTGTTCCGAAGGTGGGAGCTGTTTCGTACTTCGGGTCCACCCCTTTTTGGGTTCAGGGTTTTAGGGTTTAGGGTTTAGGAGTTTAGGGTTTAGGGTCAGGGGGTTGTCTACTACATTATCTCGACATTCTTGTATCTTCTGTTCTGCTCTCGTCCTCTAAGCCCCGACCTTTAATCCCAAAGCCCAACCCTGCATCCGAAGCCCTAACCCATTCGGGGTTTAACTTTTTGGAGGTCGGGGGTGTGGGTAGCTTAAAGGGTCTAAGACTCACACCGCAAAGGTTGTACTCCTAAAAGTTCCCCCTGAAATGCTCCGAATATGGCCCTTATAGTACTACCTTATATAAGGTTCTTTGTAAAGGTTCCCCAACACCCAAGGGTACAACCTTAAGGGTCCACGGTACAACCCCTATATAGTTAGGGTCCCACTTTAAATGCAGCCAGCATCCGGAAGGCCTTCTGTCAACGAACCGTTGCCACACGGCTGATTGGGATTGGGGGCCCTAAACCCTCAACCCTAAAGCCTAAACCCCGAACCGCTAAACCCGAAACCCTAAACCCTAAACCCTAAGCCCTAAACCCTAAACCCTAAACCCTAAACCCTAAACCCTAAGCCCTAAACCCTAAACCCTAAACCCTAAACCCTAAACCCCAAACCGGCTTGGCGTCTACGGGGTTTAGAGTTCAGGCCAGGGGGCTGAGAATTCAGTGTTTGGCCCCCGAAAGGCAGGGGGGAGGCAAATGGTACCGTAAAAGTCCATGATTTTTACGCTTTCCGGCCGAACTCCAGAAGTGTTCCGGGTTTGGGGTTTAGGGTTTGGGTTTCGGGTACTTTTTTTTTGGGGGGGGGGGGGGAGGCAGGGGGGGCTAGTGTCAGCAACAAGCGCTTAGAGATATCTGGGCAGGATAGCCCAGTGCTAAGGTCCCAACTCCCTAAACCTGCAACCCTGAGCCCCCAGGTCAGTGCTAAGCACTGGGCTCTGGACCCTAAACTTTAAACCCTAAACCCTAAACCCCAAACCCTAAACCCAAAACCCAAAACCCAAAACCCAAAACCCTCAACCCTAAACCCGAAACCCGAAACCCTAACCCTCAACCCTCAACCCTCAACCCTCAACCCTCAACCCTCAACCCTCAACCCTCAACCCAAAAACCCTCAACCCTCAACCCTCAACCCTCAACCCTCAACCCTCAACTCTCAACCCTCAACCCTCAACCCTCAACCCTAAACTCCCTCAAGCCGATGTCTTTGTCTTTAAATGCTGGGGGCTTCAGGCGTTTGGGGTATTCGGGCTTTCAAAGGTCACTTCGACTCAGTGTGCAAGACCCGAAGCCCAGGAGCAAACACGCCCGAAAGCCCTAAGCCCCAGCCCCAAGACCCGAAACCCGAAACCCGAAACCCTAAACCCCAAACCCTAAACCCTAAACCCGAAACCCGAAACCCGAAACCCTAAACCCTAAACCCTAAACAAAGCGGAAACCCATGCCGAAAGACCTTCGAGTCCCTTTGATCAAAGTTCAAGGGGGCATTCTAGGTTGGCTTTTGTGGGATATTTCATGATTTCCTTTTTTTGGGTTTACTGGGTTTTGGAGTACTGTACTTTAATACTTTTTTTTGGTTCCGGGTTCCTATTATAGCTACTTATACCTAAAAAGTATATACTTTTTTTCCAGGGTCTACTCCAAAGGTAGGTTTATAAGGAACCCAACACCCAAGTATTTTTCAAAGGGTTCAAGGCCAACCCAGTATTGGTCCTTTTTTGGGTGTATAAGGAACCCAACATCCAAGTATTTTTCAAAGGGTTCAAGGCCAACCCAGTATTGGTTTAGGCTCCAGGGGTTTGGGGGTTGAGGGTCTCCGCCTAGAGGGCTTTGGGATGAGGAGCTGTGAACCTTGCTATGCAGCCAATGTCGAAAGGCTCCAGGATGCCAACATTAGGTGAAAGCTACAGTCATTCGGCTAGATTCCTTCCTCGGGGATGCTGCATATCCGCATGATCTCGGGCGAAGAGGTCGCGGTAGCATCCCGGACTCCCACCCCAAACCTCAACCCTAAAACCGTAAAATCCTCAACCCCCAATTTCTGAAGATCCCTATCTCGAGGTTAAGATTCGAGGAGTCTGAGCCAGTATCGGCCACTTGGAAAGGGTTCAGGGTGAAAGGGTTTAGGGTATAGGATTCTAGTTGCGAGACTGAATCGTAGGCGATAGGGCTAGAATTTGAGGGTTTTGGCGGTTTAGGGGCGTAGGGTTTTGCTGGAACCCCACTGGTGCCCTTGCTTCTCGGCTTCCGGATTGCTTCGTACGAGGTAACAAACAATAGTATGATGAATATGGTTTCGCAGAGTTTAGGCTCCCGCAAAACAGCCTCGACGGGTTTAGGGTTAAGGGCCGAGTTTGGGGTCTCCAGGCATGGTAGAGGCTGCAGGGCTTACGGCCCCAAACTTCCCAGGGCCCAAATTCTGAGCCCTAAGCCCTAAACCCTAAACCCAAGACTCTAGGTTTGGGGAGGGATTCGGAGAGTTTGGGCGGTATAGCGTCTTTGCTTCAGAGCACAAGACGGCCCACCAATACGGGGGCCTTTCAATAGGGTTTAGGATATAGGGTTTAGGGTTTAGGGTTTAGCTACTATAGGGGCCTGAAAAATTGGAATAGGGTTTCGGGGGTGATTATTGTATAGTTCTATAGGGACCACAAGGGAACCCTATGAGCAATCATTCCGACCCCTATATTAGAGACTTTGCCCGACGAGCGTAAACATCCCCAAAGCACCCAAATAGCCTAAGAGCCCTGCAGACTTTCCTCCTAAGCCCCGCAACCCATACCCCTCAGCAAGCAACCTACAAGCCCTAAAAGCCCTAAACGCCCGAAAAGCCCCAAACGCCCTAAAAGGCCCCAAAGGCCCGAAAACGTCCCAAACCCTCAACAAAAAGCCCAAGCGCCCACTTCCATCCCCGAAGAAGCGACTAAACCCTCAACCCTAAGCCCTAAACCCTGAACCCTGAACTAAACCCTGAACCCTAAACCCTAAACCCTCAACCCTCAACCCTCAACCCTCAACCCTCAACCCTCAACCCTAAACCCTAAACCCTAAACCCTAAACCCTAAAGCCTAAACCCTAAACCCTAAACCCTAAACCCTGACCCCGAAGCGGCCCCAGATCCTGGAAGCCTCTCCTTCCTGGAAGCTGAAGAGACTGCGGTCGTCCATCGACAACGGCGTGCACGCCTTGGGCGTCGGTGGGCGTCCCGGAAGAGGAGGGTTTAGGGTTTAGGGTTTGGGGTTTGGGGTTTGGGGTTTGGGGTTTGGGGTTTAGGGTTTGTGGTTTAGGGTGTCCAAAAGTTTTTGTTTTTGGCAGCGTTAGAGTTACGCAAAAGGAATTTGTAGAAGGTGTTTTTTTGGGGGGGGGGGGGGCGTGAGAGGTGAGAAGGGCCATCTGCTTTGGCTTTTCGACTTTCATGATGAAACCTGGGCGTTCGGTGAAAGTCCTCACTTAAGCCTTCACCCGCCACGCTACATAGATTCCGCAAGTACCGTTCAAGATACCACAAGTACTCTAAACTTTGCCTAAACTTTAAATCTAAATTGCTACGGTGTACTTCTGGGGTTTCAGGTCAATGCCAAGGCCCTAAGCAAGCACCCTGGGACCCCAGAAACCAGAGAAAACAGAGGAAGGGCAGTTCGGGTTTGGGGTTTAGGGTTTAGGGTTTTGGGTTTAGCTCGCCTCATTCAGTATGAAAAAACCCTACAAAGTCCTCACAACCTGAAAAACCCTAACCCTAAACCCTAAACCCTAAACCCTAAACCCTAAACCCTAAACCCTAACCCTAAACCCTAAACCCTACACCCTAAACCCTGGACCCTGGACCCTGGACCCTGAACCCCGAAGCGGAAAGAAAAGTCGAGGCCTGGGCGGTGCCATGCCACGCGTTACGAAGTTTGCCCGGGCTCAGTCCGTGCGGTTCAAGGACGCCTGCTGTGCAGAGTGGAGGGTAGTACAGGAGCCTAAAGTGATTACCAAGATTATCCCTTTACATTCCCTTCAACCCCTAAACCCTAAACCCGCAACCCTAAGCCCTAAACCCTAAACCCTCAAGCTCCAAATCCCGTCGACGACTCCTGGGGCAGAGAACGCCTAGATGAAATCCTACATACTCAACTGGGTAGGCCCTGAACTTTTTCATAAAATTTTCCCTTGTTGGGTTTAGGGTTATGTTTAGGGTCTAACGTTTAGGCGTAAGAGGAGCCTATTTAGGAGCATTTTTTCAAGGGGTTTCGAGGGCCAATGTAGTTAAACCCAGGCTCCAAATCACAGGGGTTTGAGTTGGGGCTCCCTGTTGCTCTTGCGGCCTGATACAGGGTTTGGCGTGGGGGGTTTAGGGTTTAGGGTTTAGCGTTTAGGGTTTAGGGCTTAGGGTTGATGAACATGTCAGATGCCTCCACAATCGGGCCATGGCTGCAAATTGCATCTCACGTAGCTTTCGAGCCTAGTCTGCATCCCAACCTTCACAACTTCTGCGTGATCTGATGGCAAACCCTAAGCCCTAAACCCTGAACCCTAGACCCTCAAACAACGCAAGCCCTGAACCACGCACCCTTAACGTCTGGACCCTCCACCCTGCACAGGACATGTTCGCAACTCCCACCAACATCGCCCTCATGCTCGGCTTTGTCCGACCCACAGTCGGGTTGTCTCAACGAAGGCTTTTGAGTTTCTTTGGAGTTCAGCGTTTAGGGTTGAGGGTTTAAGGGTTTAGCCGGGATTAGCTGTGGGAGGGCTTGGGACGGAATGACTTGAAGCTAGAGACTAGAGTCTTAGAGGGTCCTGGGTATTTTAGGGCTTTCCGCTGTCTGCTGGTTCCATGAGGGACGGCTTTAGGGAATCCCCCGGAAAGTATGGACACCCAAACTCTCAGGGGCGTATAGGGTTTATCGATTTATGGGGCAGCTCGGCTCCACGGTTGGAAAGCCTGTGTCGGGTTCCAAGCCCTATTACAAGTCCCAAACGCCCTAAAGCCCCCAAAGCCCCTGAAGCCCCTAAACCCCCTAAACCCCCTAAAGCCCCTAAATCCCCTATATAAACCCCCTAACCCCCCAACTAACCCCAACACCTTATACCCAAAACCCAAAACCCAAAAAAACCTCCCCCCAAAACCCCCCTAAAACCCTTCAAAACCCCAAAGCCCCCCAACCCCCCCCCCCCCCCCCAAACAAAAAACGAAATCAACAAAACCCAATCCATAAACTAAACCCTAAACCCCTTAACCCTTGGAGGGTCTTAGCCCTGGTCACGCTGGAGGCCGTGAGTGTGCCAATCTCCGTCGGCCTCAACTACACTCGCGCGTACACCCTGAACGACCCTTGGCCTGGAGGGATGTTTAGAGATTTTAGGGTGTTTAGGGCTCAGGGATTTTAGGGTTCAGGGGTTTTACGGTTTAGGGGATTTTTACTTTTTTTTTTTTTTCGGGGGTGGGGGGGGGGGGGGTAGGGTTCAGGGATTTTAGGGTTTAGGGTTCAGGGTGTCTCACTTGAGGGGGCGCGCGGGTGCTAAAAGCACCCGAGCACGCGCCCTGACTTGTTGAGCCTCACCCGCGCTTGCGCTTCATCCTCGCCTTGACCTTTGCGGGTTTAGGGTTTCCTTGCTTCCTGATCGTGCTCATGTATATCATTCTTGTTGACAGTGGCGCTCATGGCATCCTTGTGAGGCCGCTCCTGAAAAACCTCGGGTTTCTAAGAACTTTTGGGAGGTCCCTGGAAGTGAATAGAGGGATTAGAGGGTTTAGGGATTTTAGGGTTATTGGTTTTTTGGGGTCTGGGCCTGATACAGCTCTTCTGAGAAAGCCGATTTAAGGCTTAAGAAGGGTTTGAAGGGTGTAGGGGTTTTAGGGTTTATAGGGCTTGTAGTTTGTAGGCTTTGTAGGGTTGTAGGATTTGTAGGGTTTGTAGGGTTTGTAGGGTTTGTAGGGTTTGTAGGGTTTGTAGGGTTTGTAGGGTTTGTAGGGTTTGTAGGGTTTGTAGGGTTTGTAGGGTTTGTAGGGGTTACAGGGTTTACAGGGTTCAAAGGGTTTAGAGGGTTTTTGTAAGGCATAGAGTGTTTTTGAAGGGTTTAGAGGGTTTTTATGGGGTTTATAGTTTATGGGGTTGAGGCTTCAGGGTTAAAAGAAGTACTTCGGGAGCCCTACATCCTTTAAAGAAGCCCTAAGAGAGCCAAGCTTCCTTAACTGCCTATTGCTTGCAATGGTACCTTCTTGCCCTTTTGTTGGTTCTAGGTTCCCTTGTCAAGTAACCAACCCCAAAAAGAGCACCCTTGTTGTAATATGGTTTCTGGTTACCGAGCTACCCAGACTATACGGGTGTCGACGACGCCCCAAAAGCCTTCAACTGGAGCCCAAGCTTAGAAAGCCGCAGCTTGCGTGTGACCTTAAAACCCTGCATCCCAAAACTCTAAACCTAAAGCCATGAACCCTACACCCGAAAAACCTGAACTGGTAGGGTTCCCTAAAAAAACCCCAAACCCTAAATCCTAAACCGTAAACCTGAAACACCAGCCCTAAATTCGACACCCTTGCACCCGAAATCCCAAGACGCAGGGATTGCTCTGCTTTGTTGCGACACCCCCCCTTCCCCTCTCCCCCCTTGCCCCAACTGCAAACTTTAAGGCTTGAACGAACTCCCATGAATGTCCAAATCTTGGGAACTATGAGCATAATTCAAATTCCTCCAAAATCAAAGTACTTTTCAGAGGCTCCGCTCTTCAGAGCACGCTCAACCGCAACCCTGAACCCTTAAACTCTCAACCCTTAACCCTCAAAGGAATGTTCGCTTCGGAGCCTGATGTCGTAAACCCTAAGCCCTAGACCCTATACACCCAAATCGCTCGCCCCTAAGCCTGGGCTCCTCGCCCCCAAGCCTGCAAGGAAACCATCTTCAAGACGGACATTGACTCCCGAACGGAGGCCACGCCCTGTGTTTCTGCCTACTTCGAGGTTCATGCGTACTTACAATCCCAGTTCTAAGTCTACTTAGACCCTACTTAGAGGACTTAGGGTGCTTAGAAGTACAGTTATGGTTGGGGTTATAAGGACCACGAACCCCCCCCAAGTAGGCTTGGCCCCTCTTGGGCTTATCGTGGTGAGGTTGTTCAGGGTTTTGAGGGTTGTGGTTTAGGGTTTAGGGTTTAGGGCTTAGGCTTCGGGCTCTGCAGTTGTTAGAGGCCTTCCACAAACCCCTGAACGCGTTTAGGGATTTGATATACTCACCGTCCTGAATAGGGATTAGAATAGGGGGGCGCTATTATCCCTATGAAGGCTGTGACTATAAGGGGGAACATCCCAGCCTCTAAGCCGTAGACCCTAACCCCAAAACCCTAATCCGCAGGCTTTGTCACGCCTGGCCGCCATCCCGGTGGTGTGCGCCTCCATCAACTGGTTCGTGCAGCACCTTCGGAAGACCGCGAAGGGGGGGTGCAAGTCTGCTTCAGGGGTTTAGGGTTTAGGGTTTAGGGTATAGTATATACGTAGGGGCGAACTCCCTCCTCCCTAAACACCCCACAAATATGCAATATACCTGTGTCAAGTGCACATGAAATCAGAGGGGCTATAGCATAGCAGACGGAACTCAGGTCAGAGGCAGAAGCAGCTCACTAGACCTGCAGGTCCTTCCGCTAGAACCTGCCATCCTGACTGTGAAATCCAAACCGGGTCAAGTATCTACTCAGTGCTGACAGGACTGTATTCTTCTGGGAGAGACGGACCGATGAAGACAGGCCCGCAGGGTTTGCATCTACACCCGCTGCTCTTTGCGTTGATTCGGGGCTACTACCTCCTAAGCTTCCCGAAAACCCCAAATCCCCCCAAAACCCCCCAAACCCCAGAAACACCAACGACCCCAAACACCCCCAAACCTTCAACCCTGCACCCCCCAAAAACCCCCTGAACCTCCCCCCCCCCCCCGCAAAAAGCTCACACCAAATTTTGCAAGCCTTTAGCCCTACTGCGGAAGCCACAAGCCCTGAAACTCCGATAGACGAAGCAGGGTTTAGGGCTTCATTTTTTTAGGGGTTGTGGGGTGTCGGGGTTTTGTGGGTCTTGGGGTGTTGTTTTTTTGTTAAGGCTTTATGTGTGTGAGGGTTTTAGGGTTTCAGGGTTTAGGGTTTAGGATTAGAGGGTTTACGTTACAGGGCTTACTGTAATGTACAGTTTAGTTCCTTTCAACTCCAAACGCCCTGAAGCACCCCGACACGCTCAAGCCCTAGCCGGAAAGTGTGTAGGGTGTGGGGCCCGATGATGCTCATATCATGTACGTTGTGTACGTACATAGATTTGTGTGTTTGTGTGTGTATGTATGTATGTATGTATGTATGTATGTATGTATGTATGTATGTATGTATGTATGTATGTATGTATGTATGTATGTATGTATGTATGTATGTATGTATGTATGTATGTATGTATGTATGTATGTATGTATGTATGTCTGTGTGTGTGTGTGTGTGTGTGTGTTTGTGTGTTCTCAATGCTCGCACAAATGCTCGTGCCAAATGGCTTTTGGAGACATAGTTCGATCAACACAGACACACACATAGATCTTACACGAGCTCGCTGCAAAGAGAGACACGCGCACTCTTGCATACCGGGCGTAAGCTCCTTTTCGCCCCCCTGTGCTGACAGGAGGAGCACGCTCGGAGCTGTTCAGGGCCGAGCCTTGAGTGTTCAGGGCTGCCCTGGGCAGGATACCGCCCAAAAGCCTAAATGCGCTACACCCCGATACTCGACATCAATCAAGCCAAAGTCCCCCTCCCCCCCTAAACCCTAAACCCTAAACCCTAAACCCTAAACCCTAAACCCTAAACCCTAAACCCTAAACCCTAAACCCTAAACCCTAAACCCTAAGCTCTAAACCTTAGACCCTAAACTCGAGACCCTGAACCCTAAGCCCCGAACCCCGAAGGCCACACAGCACAGCTTCACGCAGGTTTCTTCACATCCACACCACCCGGCACGACTGGTGGGACTGGAAGTCTGTGGGACCTTTGTCTGCATCCCACTGGTTTAAGGGTTCGTGGGCTTTTGAGGTTTACCTTAAGAGCCCAAACCTACTTTTTTGTCGGTTTCCCAAGAAACCTATAGCGGGATTTAGACGAAGAACCTACACAAAAAGGTGCGTTTTGGGCTCTTAAGGTCGCCCACGCCTCACCTCCCCACCCCCACCCCCCTGAACGCCCAAACCATGGCATCCTAACCTGGCGCCACGGCAACAACCCAAATAAGGCTTATCGAAGAGTCTCTGTTGTGGGCGGCTAAGGTAGGGGTAGTGTCCCTTTGACCCCGAAACCCCAGCCTTAACCCCTAAACCTTAAGCCCGAAACCCTAAACCCTGAACCCTAATCCTAAAAGCCCCCAACGTTCCAGGCCTGATGACTATGGCCTCCCTGTTCCTGATACGGAATGCCTGTTGCCACATGCTGGAGGACTCCTGGGTTCACGGCTTGGGATATTTTCCCTTATTGGGTTTAAGAGGGCCATATTCAGGCCCTAAACCCTAAACCTTAAACCCTAAACCCTAAACCCTAAACCCTAAACCCTAAACCCTAAATCCTATATCCTAAACCCTAAACCCGACACCCTGAGTTTTTTTTCCAGAGGGTCTGAAGGGCCATCCTAGGGCACCTTCCGACCCTTTCCTTAAAAAAGATCTCTGGGCTGAGGGCGGTTCCACCTATCGTTCTTGGCAAGGCCCCCTTGTCTGGGTATTTCACAAAACAGGGCCTTTGTACCCCAAATAGAATAGAATCCCCTTGGAGGGCCCCCCAAAAAGGGTACCCCTACTTTCGGAAACCCCCATGTGGTTTGGGGTATGGCCTTTGTTGAGGGGGTAGTGGGCTCCCTGTGTAGGTAAGGACCGTTGAGATGCGATTTGCGCAGGACCACGTGTCTCAACAAGTGCACTTTTGCCCCTTCGGCTTGTCCTGCGAGGGGAAAATTCCGGTGTGGGGTTCCTAAATCCTAAACCCTAAACCCTAAACCCCAAGCCCCAAACCCCAAACCCTAAACCCTAGACCCGAAACCCCAAACCCCAATCCCTAAACCCTTCCACCCTGGACCCCTGAACCCCCGGTGCCCTGGGGGCACGATGCCGATTGTCAGATTATCCAGGGCAACTGCCCTGTGTGCTTTCGTCTTTTCAGAAATCGCTTGGAGGAGTAGATTCAAAAGTCCAAACCCCGCACCCTAAACCCCAAATGGGGCGTTGGTAGGTGCAGAATTGGCTTTAACTCGATCGAGGTTCGTTTTTGTCTACGGGAGCTCATCCCTGGACGCTAAATTCAAAACCAACAGCAATCGCAAAACCCAAACCCGAAACCCGCAGCCCTGCACCAACAAAAGTCCCAAGACTTTCAGCCCGTAGCCCTTCTCACCCTTGGAGACCTCAACCCTAAAAAACCTTAAAGCCGAAGCCCTACACCCTCAACCCTGAAACAGTACAGCCTGAAACCTAGAGGCCTACACCCGAGAGTCCCGAAGCGTACGTCCGAGGCTTCACTGGTGGCATGGTGCTTCTGGCAGTTTATGGCTACTTCATGGTGCTGGACAAGCCCAAAACCCAGACAAGGGTTCAGGGTTCGACCCTAAACCCTAAACCCTCGCCCCAAAAACTAACCCTAAACCCTAAACCCCCAAACCCTCACCCTGAACCTTCAACCCTAAACCCCCAAACCCTAAACCCTAAGCGCCCGGGTTGCGAGCTTGGGGTTTGGGACACCTCCTCCCCTGAACTCCCATGCAGGGCTCCGGGCAATCCCCCCTAAGAACCCTTCAACCTCCAGTCCCACGCCCCCAAAATCCCACCAGGGTTTAGGGTTTAGGGTTTAGGGTTTAGGGTTTAGGGTTTAGGGTTTAGGGTTTAGGGTTTAGGGTTTAGGGGTACACCCCCAAGCCCTTCTAAAGAGGGCATGATGTGCCCCCTTAAGCACTAAGCCCTAAACCCTAAACCCTAAACCCTAAACCCTAAACCCTAAACCCTAAACCCTAAACCCTAAACCCTGGAAACAACCCAAGCCTTAAGCTTGGGTTCTTCACCTCCTAGGATCGACGGCAACGTGCAGAACATGATCATGGACCAGGAGACGTGTTGCATAGGGTGCCGGGTAGGTGATTAGCAGGGTTTAGGGTTTAGGGTTTCGGGGTTTAGGGTCTGGCAGGGACCCTCAATCTTATTCCCCGATATAACCCCCATACGTACCTTATAAAGTCCCTAGAAACCTAAGCCTCTTAATGGCCCCCAAGGTCTCTTATAAGGCTCCCGATCTAGGCATGTTGGGGGGTGGAGATCTAGGTATGCTGGACCTTTTCTTGTCAGCTTTTCCGCAGGAGATCATCAACCAGAGCAAGTGTGTCCAGAAGATGCAGGACATTGCACCCTGGCAAATGGGCCATCACTCTTCTTCGAGTACATTCCTAGGTACCCGCAGTATATTAACTAGGGGGTTTAAGAGGACCATGTTTCAGGAAGGGTTTTAAGGGCCATGCTACTAAAAGGTACTCAGAAAGGACACCCTAGTTAGGGAACCTTCCCAACGTGTAGACATCCCAAGTGTTAATACCCCAGCCCAAAAACCCTAGACCCTACCAACCCCCCCCCCCCTCCGCCCCGCGCTAAACCCTAAACCCTAAACCCTAAACCCTAAACCCTAAACCCTAAACCCTAAACCCTAAACCCTAAACCCTAAGACCTATAAAAACCCTAAATCCTAAATCCTAAACCCTTAGCTCAAGAAACGCTTAAGAGAGCACTGCAGCCGCATCCTCGGAGGTGACAAAGATCTCGCGGACCCAGAAGAAGGACCGGGATATCGTGCCGCTTGGCTGGATAAGGGTTTAGGGTTTAGGGTTTAGGGTTTAGGGTTTTGGTCTTGGGTTTAGGGTTCAGGGTTTCGGGTGTAGGGCTTAGGGTTTGCAAGTTCCTGAGGGTGTAGGGCTGTTCGATGCTCAGGGCTTTGCTACGGCCCCTAAACCCTAGACCCCAAGCCCCCAAACCCCAAGCTCCTGTCAGGTACAGCTTCGCGCACACGCACACCGTGCCGGCGAAGGCCCCCGGCGCTGGCGTCAGGGGTTTCAGGAGCTCTGAGCTTCAAGGCTTGAGGGTAGAGGGTTTAAGGGTTCAAGGATTTTGAAAGGGCTTACTACTAGGTTTAAGGATTTTATAAGGGTTTAAGGGTTTAAGGGATGAAGGATGTTGAAGGGCTTAAGGGTTTAAGGATTTTAAGGGGTTTAAGGATTTGAAAGGGTTTAAGGGTTTGAGGGTTGAAGGGTTTAGGGGTTTTGAGGGTTTGAGGGTTTAAGGGTTTAAGGGGCTTAAGGGTTTAAGGATTCAAGGGTTTGAGGGTTTAAGGGTTTAAGAGTTTTACAGGGTTTCAGGGTTTAACGGTTTGTTAGGGTTTTATGGGTTTTTTAGGGCTTATAGGGTTTTGGGGGTTAAGGGTTTAGGGTTTATAGGGTTCAGGGCTTGGGGTTAGGATGCTGCCATCCCTAAGCCGTGCCGCTGTGGGATTTGGGTATGGGGGGGTGGGGGGGGGCTATACTTGGAATCTCTTGTGACTTAGTACGTAGGGTTAGCAAGCCGGGAAATGGGGATTGCAATCGGGTTTCCAGGGGAGACTAAGTAGACTTACTATGTCAAGAGAGCTTGTAAGTAGGGGTTCAGGGTTCAGGGTCCAGGGTCCAGGTTTCGATTTCAGGATCATCCTTCCTCTGTTGACTCATGAAGTTCAGATCCTGAAGCCTCTGGACATCGAGCGCTTCCTTACTCCAGCCGTAAGCCCCAAATCGTTGAACTTGGAAGCTCTTCTGACTTAGTAAGTCTACATCGTATCCCCCTCGAAACCCTCTTGTGATCCCCATAACCCACATTCCTAACCCTACTTACTAAGTCAAAAGATCCAAGTAAACCCTGGAAACCCGAAAACCCTAAACCCTAAACCCTTAACCCCTAAAAAACCCAAACCCTCAAAGGCAAACAAGAGCAGTTCTCGGAAGCCGCAAACCCAAGCAGAGCCCTAAAACGCCCTCGGCCAAGTCCCTGTACTCTAGATCCCGCATCCGAAAGGGTTTACGGGTTCAGGGTTCAGGGTTTATTTAGTGTTCAGGGTTTGGGTTGAGGGTGTAGTTACGGGTGCCTGACAGTCTAAGGGCCCCCATTAACATGGTCCCTTCCCCCCCTGACAGGGTTCTTTGGTTTTTTTCGGAAAAAGAGGGGTAAAAAAGGGGTCCCCTTTTCAAGCCCCTTACTAAGGGACCATGAAACTACCCGAAGAGACAGGTGCTCCACTACATCTGGTCCATCTACTACCTTGTAGGCTCCGGCGCTGGGCGAGTTTCCTTTGGGTGGGCCATTTCTTGGGAGTCTGTATTAGAAACCAGTATGAAAAGGGTACCGAAACGGGGACTTTTTTTTGAACACATAGTTTAGGGTTTAGGGTTTAGGGCTCTGAGGTGTCGGGGCTTCACGGGGTAGGGTTGAGGAGTTGTCGATGGCTGGGGTCTCGAAACGCGCGAAGCGGCCGGGCAATTCGACCCAGTATGTGCCACAAAAAAGAACACAAACCCAAACCTTGAGCTCTAAACCCTCAACACTACAATTCACCCAATATGTGCCACAAAAAAGACCGTAAGCCCAAACCCTGAGCTCTAAAACCCTCAACACTGCACCACAAACCCGCGGGGCAGTGCTCAAACCCGACCGCGCAACCGCACAAAGGCCCTTAACAGCTCTGAGCCACTGAACTCCCAAAAACCCTAAACCCTAAACCCTAAACCCTAAGCCCCAAGCCCTAAACCCTAAACCCTAAACCCCCCACAGACAAAAGCAAAAAGTCACACTGAAAGAGCTCGGAGCAACGTTGGGAACCGCTGCGCCATGAATCCTTCTAATCCTCAGCAGTGTGTATACTATAGGGGTCGGAATAATTACTCGGAGTATTCCCTTAGGGTTCCTTTGTACTTATACGATCATAACCCCCATTCTAGTTGTTAAGGCCCCTACATCATAAGGCTTAGGCTTTTTGAATGTCTTGTGGTGGCATTGGTTCAGGGTAGCCTTCGCTCCAGGCAAGATACTGGGTGCGCTGATGGTGATGGCCACCTCGCAGCACTAGAGCTTCCCCAAACCCTAAACCCCTAAACCCCTAAAACCCTAAACCCCTAAACCCCTAAACCCCTAAACCCCTAAACCCCTAAACCCCTAAACCCCTAAACCCCTAAACCCCTAAACCCCTAAACCCCTAAACCCCTAAACCCCTACACCCCTAAACCCCTAAACCCCTAAACCCCTAAACCCCTAAACCCCTAAACCCCTAAACCCCTAAACCCCTAAACCCCTAAACCCCTAAACCCTGAACCCCTAAACCCCTAAACCCTAAGACCCCAAACCCTAAACCCTAAACCTTAAACCCGAACACAGAACCCCAAATCCAAAGCCGATGCGCGACAACCCGCGCGATCCCAAGTTCTAAACTCGAACTCTAAGCCCCCAAACTGGGAAACCCTCAGCTCTCCGGCCCCTCCCGCTCCCAAAAGCCCCTTGGGTTTAGGGTTTAGGGTTTAGGGTTTCGGGTTTAGGGTTTAGGGTTTAGGGTTTCCCCTAAACCCATCAGGGGTTTAGGGTTTGGGGGTTTCGGGAGACGAGGCGTACTTTGCACAAATCGACGCCGACACCATCAACCGCTTCGTTCTGGGCAGTGCCCGGACAGTAGATGGTGGGGTTTTGGAGCCTGACCCCAACCCCCAACCCCAAACTTGAGTTTTTGGCGTATTGCCGGTGTAGTTATATAGGGTTTAGGGTTTGGGGCTTTGGGCTTTGGGCTTTGGGCCTACCTGGGGCCCTATTTACCTGCAGATTAGTAGCCCTATTTAGTAGGTATAACCCTTCAAACTGTGGGTAAAGAGGGTTTCAGGTAGGGTTAGCTCTAGAACTACGGTGCCTGCGTGACAACTCCCCACCTGGCAACTCCCCACTCCATAGCTGCGGGGGCCCCAAAGCCATACAAAGTCAGGGTTTAGGGTTTAGGGTTTAGGGTTTAGGGTTTAGGGTTGAGGGTTGATGGTTGAGGGTTGAGGGTTGATGGTTTAGGGTTGAGGGTTTAGTGCCCCCAGAGTTCGTCCTAGACCCTAAGCACAAGGCGGAACCTGATTGTCTCCCTTCGCCCCGAAGCTCGCAACAAGCCGGCTCTTACATGCTTTCATCTTGAAGATCCTCAGCGGACAGGTTGACATAAACCCTAAGCCCTCAACCCTAAACCTAAAGCCCTAAGCCCTAAGCCCTAAGCCCTAAGCCCTAAGCCCTAAACCCTAAACCCTAAACCCTAAACCCTAAACCCTAAACCCCCTCCTTTTGAGGGCTAGGACTCTTGAAGCCTCGCGAGGTCTGCTGCTCTCGGGGGCGGCCTCTGGCGGCTTCATGCTCGAGCTGCTTGGATGTTCCCTTGGGGGCCAAAGGAACCCCCAAAACTGGAGGGTTGGGTTTAGGGTTTAGGGCTAGGGTTTAGGGTTTAGGCTTTGGGGTTCAGGGGTCAGGGACGTGGATCTTTGGGAGTCTGATAATTAGGGGTGGCAAATATTCTGACTCCGTGTCGCAGGCTTTCCAGGCGCGAATCCCCGAACCTTGTTCTTTCCTAGGCAAACCTTACCACCCCCCAGCCCCCAAACCCTAAGCCCTGCACCCTGAGCACCAAAAACTCCACAAAAAAGCCGCCTAAACGCCCCGAAAAGCAACCCTGAAACTCCCCGGACACGGTAGCAAACACCAAAAGCATCATTGTAGAACTCTTGTCTTGTGGCATGTTGCCGTGGGCTATTTGGTATAAAACCTACCTTTCTGTAGGGTTCCCAAGAATCCTACAAGAGGATTTATACTAAGACCCTAACCCTAAACCCTAAACCCTAAACCCTAAACCCTTGTGAAAACCCTAACCCCTACAGCAAAGTGGGTTTGGGGGTCTTAAGGTATATGAGTATTTTCAAAGCCCCTCCTACAAACAAGGCTCGGGCCAAGCACCATCAGCCTGCTGCGAATGTCCCTCTACAAGCCACCCGGGCTGATTAGTATTTGGGCGTATGCAAAGAGATATTTCCCCAAATAGGGGTTGCCCTTTTAGACCCTGAATAGAATAGAGCCCCCTTCATTCAATGGGGACCACCCAAAAAGGGTACCCCTATTTTCGGAACCCCCCCCAGTAGGCTGGCTAGGTTTCATTGTCTACGTAGATTAAGAGGCCCTATTTCGCCCCACTTAGGGTCTTATAAGGGGTACTTGGTGGCACCAGGCGGGTTTGTGTAGAGAGTTTAGGTTCAGGGTTTTTAGGGTTTGGTTTCCCAAATCCCAGCACTTTCAAGGAAGGAATGCTCCTGAAGCTTCAAGGGAAGCCTAAGGTGAGTATAGGCATATATATATATATACACATATAGATATATGTACATATTCATTCCTTCACTAAGGGGTAGTTTATCTGCTCGGATGTTCAGGCGAAGCCGAATGTCGGGCTGCAGCCCTATGGTAACTTTGGGCAGCCACCCGCCCCCCCCCCCCCCCCTCTCCCCCTCCCCTAGTTACATGTTTGCACATTTTGCTGTTTAGGGTTTGGGGTTTGGGGTTTAGGGTTTAGGGTGTGGGTGATTCAATCAGGGGGGAATTTTGGTGGGATGCTTCGGGAATGTAAGTAAGCCAAATGTCCCTAAGCCCTAGAAGCCTTGCGAGGCCATTCTACGTTGGGGATCTTGTCACACTGAACCACACTGGGGCATCTGGGATGTCGAACGCCCTCGTGGGTTTCGTCGCCGCTTGGTGGCTTCAACCCCAGCCCCTAAACCCTAAACCCTAAACCCTAAACCCTAAACCCTAAACCCTAAACCCTAAACCCTAAACCCTAAACCCTAAACCCTAAACCCTAAACCCTAAACCCTAAACCCTAAACCCTAAACCCTAAACCCTAAACAAACCCTAAACCCTAAACCCTAAACCCTAAACCCTGATCCACGAAAGGTTTACAGGGTTTAGGGTTCGGGCTAAAAAAACCCCCTGTTCGGGCAGAGGGGCACAATAAGACCAATTTAACGGTTCAGGTTGGGTAGTGGTCTTGAGGCGGTTTCGAGTTCTAGGGTTTAGGATCGGGCTTAGGATTTAGGGTTTAGGGTTTAGGGTTTACCCTAAACCCTAAACCCTAGCCCTAAACCCTAAACTTTACTAAACCCTGAACCCTGAACCCTGAACTCTAAACAATCCCAGGAGAACATCACCATGATGTATGTGGTGATCCGCAACTTTGAGATGAAGCAGGCGAGAAGTCCGAACTCGAAAGCCTCAAGCCTTAAAGCCCTCGGAGACCCCAAAGCCCTAAACTTTATGGTCTAGGCAGTAGGGTTCAGGTTTAAGGGCTAGGACTCAGGGTCTAGGGTTTAGGTTTGGCATGGGGTTTCAAAGCCTAACGCAATGAACTCTGCAGTCCCCCAAGGAGCCCGGAAAGCCCTGAGCCTAACCCCTTAGCCCGAAAAGCCAAAAACCCTCAACCCCAAAGCCCGACACCCAGAGCTCGAAAACCCTAAGCCCCCAGAGACTAACGCCTGAACCCATTATCCCCAAAACCTCTGAGCCAGCCACCCTAAACTCGAAAACCCTAACCCTAAAACGCTCCAAGCTCTAAGCCCCCAAACCCCAACCTTATTTCAAAAACCCTAAGTCCTAACCTCCAACCCCTCAACCCTAAACCCTGAAAAGCTCCAAGCTCTGAGCCCCCAAACCCCAAAACCCACATGCCTAACCCCACCTCGAGCGAAAGACTCAGTAGCAGAGTACACTTTACACTTTTTTGGGAGAATATAACCCCTTATAGAATTGTAAGTGTATACCGTTGGGTGGCCTTATGAACTCAGCAAACTAAGAACCTTAAACCCTAAACCCCAAACCCCACACCCTCAACCCTAACCCTAAACCCTAAACCCTAAACCCTAAACCCTAAACCCTAAACCCTAAACCCTAAACCCTAAAACCCTAAACCCTAAACCCTAAACCCTAAGCCCACCTCGACTGCAAGAGGTCTGGGTCAGCCACAAGGCGTTCAACGAGCTGATCATCCAGAATTGGACTCGAAGGCTCCTTCATGAAGGGTTTAGGGTTTAGGGTTTAGGGTTTAGGGTTTAGGGTTTAGGATTTAGGGTTTAGGGTTTAGGGTTTAGGGTTTAGGGTTTAGGGTTTAGGGGCCCTAGGCTTCAGGGTTTAAGGAGGCAACCCCCGGACCGTTGTAGCAAAGGTGCCCTAAGCCCTGGTACATAAACCCGAACAAATCCTCAAGCTCCAGGCGCCTCCTAAGACCCGAAACCCCAAACGTTAAGCCCCTTCAATGCTGGGCTTAAGGTAGCCGCAGGTTTGGAGTACGGCAGCGCCCCCCAAAAACACCTTGCCAGCAAACCCATGGACACCTGCGACCCCTCTCTTTTTGGCACCCTAGGGTTTAGGGTTCAGGGTTTAGGGTTTAGCGTCCCCCCGGCGCAATGGGAAAGCGTCGCGGCTTGGCTTTTCGGTTTTGCTTTAGAGTTTTTAGGCTTCGATGGTGCGTACCCAGACCCCTCGACCCAAAAAAATATCGAAGCAATGTATGTGTGTATCTGTATATACGCACCAGTGAAACTAAGGAAGAAGCTAGGACAAAAACAAATCCGAGCCGCCTCATGCCTTTCAGATGCCCGGAAGTTTGAGGTTTCCGAACGCCCCTACATGCTAAAGCCCTAAACCCACCCGCCCTATGTAGACCTCTACCCCCTTCCCCCTTTAGGGTTGCAAGCCCCCCAAAACTTTAGCTATAAATGCTATAATATAAGCTATGTAAACCTACATGCCTCAAAAAGCCTGAAGGTCTGCGTACCAGAGCCCAGTATTCATGGGTTCCCCTATTACCCAGTCGGGTAGTATAGAGGGGGGTAGTAGGGAAACCCATGAAGTATTATAGTGGAAAGGGTGTAAAAACGAGTCGGTCATCCGCAAAGTTACCGAGCCCAGAGCCCTTAAACACCGATCCCTAGACTCCTCACGAAGCTACCAAGTGCTTCGGGGGTTGAGGGTTCAGGGTTTAGGGTCTTTAGGGTTTAGGGTTTAGGGTTTAGGGTTTGAGGGTTCAGGGTTTGGGGTTTGGGGTTTCGCGTGTCCGAAGCCAGGCCCACGAAGACTGTCCTGCTGAACATCGGCATCAGCACACGGAGCCCTCTGCAGAAAGTCCAGAGGCTGCAGGCCGGGGGTTGAGAGTTTGGGGGGATGGTTTAGTGTGCAGGGCTCCCTAGACCCCAAATAAACCCTGAACCCTAAACCCTAAACCCTAAACCCTAAACCCTAAACCCTAAACCCTAAACCCTAAACCCTAAACCCTAAATCAGGTTCGAAGTTCCGGCTTGAGGTGTTCAGAGTTCATGATGCGGGTCTGGGGTGGGGCGCTTAGGTACAGGGGATGTTACGAGGCCCCCGTGTGGCGTTTTTCAGGGGTCCCTCCTTATACCCCTTAGTTGGGCCCTTTTTCCCCGCAAAATACCAAAAAAACGGGGTTTCGGGTTCATGGTCTGGCGTCGGGATGTTCCCCCCTTATACGAACAGTCCAAGATAGGGACCCCCCGCGGCAATTACAATCCCTCTTAAGGACCGTTAGTATCAGGGAAACATCCCAAGTTTGGGGTGACGTTGTGGGTCTAGGGTCCCAGGTAGGATAAGGGGGTCCTTGAAAAGGGAGCCCTTCTTTACCCTCTTCTGGCTCTCTTAAACAGGGACCTTATTCAGAGGGTCTGTTTCCACAAGGGTCCCCCTAATCCTATACCCTATAGGGTTTGCATCTCACGCGCCCCTGGCGGGGAGGAGTTTGGCAAGCGCTGGATCAAGGAGTCGCCGGACATCCAGCAGGACAACTACCAGACCCTCCGACGCCCTAAACTCCCCGAATGATCTCTCAACCCTAAACCCTAAGCCCTAAACCCTAAACTCTAAACCCTAAGCATCCCTGAGCCCTATATAACCTTGTTGTGTAACTACCCCCCCCCCCCCACCCTAGCAAAACATGGCCCAAAGTACTTTTGTTAAGCCCGAATTGGGGCCTTTATTGGGGTTTGATTACGTAGGGTTTAGGGTAATTAGTCCGTAGTCAGGGTGGCAGCAGTTCCCAAGAATGACCCCATAGTATACGGTACTCTTTAGGGTTCAACCCTAAACCCTAAACCCTAAACACTAAACCCTAAACCCTAAACCCTAAACCCTAAACCCTAAACCCTAAACCCTAAACCCCAAACCCTAAACCCGAAACCCTAAACCCTAAACCCTAAACCCTAGCAGTTGGGCTTAGTATAGGATCCCTTTGGAAGCTAAGGAAGTGCCACATCACGTCGACGAGCCTCCTGGCATCACAGTGAGCTCCCTCAAAGCCCTTGGGCTTAGGGTTGTAGGGTTTCAGGGTTCATAGGGGCCTTCGTGTTTAGAGTTTCGGGTTTAGGGTTTAGGCACTTATGGTTCACAGCCCTAGACCCTAAACCCCGAAGTCTTAGTGAGGCAACGGCTACAACATCGAGATCATCTTCTTCCCCATGGTGGGCGTGTCCCACAGGTGAGCGACGGGGCTTCGGGACGTTCTGGGTTTCAGGGTTTAGGCCTTAGGGTTTTAGGATTTTTTTGGTTTAGGGGTTGCGGGCCAGGGTTTGAGGCTTAGGGTTTAGGGTTAAGGGTTTAGGGTTCAGGGTTTAGGGTTTAGGGCTCAGGGTTGAGTGGGTTTAGTGCTGAGGGCTGAGGGTCGAGGCTTCCGGTTTGACGGTTCGAGTTCTCGCGTCAAGGGTTCGAAGTCACTTGGGTCTAGGGTTCTAAGTCCTGGCACCTTCTACTCGAAACCCAAAACCGGACACCTAAACCCTAAACCTTATAAACCCTAACGAGGATCCCTCAGTCCTCAACGATTCAAGTCGCCGCTGCTTCCTTAGATGCTCGGCTTTCATAGGATCCGGAGTAGGCCCCTACTTCCTTTTTCTAGGCTTGGGGTTCCCTTATAATCCCACTGCACACCCTAAAGGGTACCCTTGTTTTGTTCCTAGGTTGCTCCTGGGTCTCGGCTTTCTTTCGAGGCAGATCCGACAAAAGTTTCTGATCGCCATCATGGAGGCAGCTCAGCGGCTAAATGTGCCTTTCGCCCCTTGGCAGAGCTTCACCTCCCCCCAAAAAGTACAGGTTTAGGGTTTAGGGTTTAGGGTTTAGGGTTTAGGGTTTAGGGTTTAGGGTTTAGGGTTTAGGGCCGGTTTAGGGTTTAGTGTCTTTCGCCAAACCCGTAAACCTAAATCCAAGCCCTAACTCCTAGGCCCTAGCACACCCGAAGGCTCTTCTAGCTAAACTTAGTGGCTTTTAGCCGGGTGTTATGGAATCTGGTACCATATATATCCCCTAGATAAACCTTTAAAGGGCTTATATAGGGTGCCTGATTCCATCATTCCTACTAAGAGCCAGTAGGTTGAAGGGTGAAGGTTTCGGGTTCCCCTCTTGGCCCCTGTGGGTCGTGGTGGGTTCAGGTCTTAGGGCTCCAGGTTCAGGGTTCAGGTTTAGGCTCCACACTGGGGGGTAGCATATACGGTTGCCCGCCGCGGCCCTCCCCCCCCCCCCCCGTGGTGTGGGAGTGGTTGGTTTTATAAGCCCTGCAGCAAAAGCGCGCCCTGACCGCGGGGGTGGGGGAGGGAGGGAGGGAGGGGGTGGGGGGCCTTTCGGGTCCCTCCTAAGGCTTTTTTCCTGCACCCTCAAACCCTAAACCCCAAACCCTAAACCCTAAACCCTAAACCCTCAACCCTAAACCCTCAACCCTCAACCCTAAACCCTAAACCCTCAACCCTAAACCCTAAATCCCTAAACCCTCAACCCTAAACCCCAAACCCTAAACCCTAAACCCCAAACCCCAAACCCTAAACCCTATAGCCTTCCAGGTGCCCCTCCAAATTATGCAGAACTTCTGCGAAGACGTGGACCCAGCGGGCGGCGAGGCACCTTGCGCCCTCCAGAGTTGGGCAAGCCCTAAACCCTCAACCCTAAACCCTAAACCCTAAACCCTCAACCCCAAGCCCTAAACCCTAAACCCTAAACCCTGAACTCTAAACCCTAAACCCCGAGCCCTATACCCTAAACCCTAAACCCTAAACCCTATACCCTAGACCCTAAACCCTATACCCTAAACCCTAAACCCTATACCCTATACCCTAGACCCTAGACCCTAGACCCTAGACCCTAGACCCTAGACCCTAAACCCTAAACCCTAAACCCTAAACCCGAAACCCCAAGCCCTATACCCTAAACCCTAAACCCTATAAGCTCTCAGCTTTGAAGCCCCAAGCTCGAAAGTCAGCGAGTCTGAGTCAGAACCCGAAACCCGAAACCCTGAACCCCTGAACCCCTGAACCCCTGAACCCTACGGAGTCGCTTGCGCCTGGCTTAACATGCGTCGGGTTCAGGGTTTAGGGTTTAGGGTTTAGGGTTCAGGGTTTAGGGTTTAGGGTTTGGGGTTTAGGTTTTTGGTTTAGGGGGACTTGGCGGTTTAAGAGTGGGAGCTGCGGTGATACCCTCTGAGGGTTTGGGGTCTTGGCCTTCATGATTGGAGTCTGGCTTCTTGTCTGCAAGTCGGCAACATGAGAAGGCTGTAAGCCAAGCTTGTTATAAGAGATGGCACCAGCCCTAAAGCCCAAGACCTATAAGCCCTAAGCCCGATATGCCCTATGCCCTAAACCCTTCTCAGAAAGTTGCACCTGATGAGCCTACGGTCGCAGAGGACACGGAGAGCACAGTTCACTCAAGCTGCGGTGCAAAACGATACCACTTCGTACTGGGCTGCTTCTAGAATGTTCTAGATATCGCTCTAAATATATGTGGCCGTGTTATAACAGGGACCCAAGAGCAGGCCACGATGTAGAGAACTCAGCCCTACATCCTCATCCCCCGTGCCCAGAGTTGTGTAGAGCTTCTTACTAATTGCATAAGGACTCCCCAAAAAAACAAACAATAATCCTCCCTATAACGGCAATACGGGGATGCTTGGGGGTTCTTAACAAGACTGCTTGCTTGCAGGTCATGTCTGAAGCCACAGCCGTCGCCAAGGCAACGAACCCCAAGTCCCTCAACTACCTCACCCCAGATGGAGGGGGGGGGGGGTAGGGTTTAGGGTTTAGGGTTTAGGGTTTTGGGTTTTGGGTTTTGGGTTTTGGGTTTTCGGTTTTGGGTTAGGGTTTAGGGTTTGGGGTTTAGGGTTTAGGGTTTAGGGTTTAGGGTTTAGGGCTTAGGGTCTAATGTTTGCGAAACTAGGGGACCCCCATAGTTGACCCCCAAATAGCAGGATTCCTTTAGAATAGGGACCCCAGCAAGGTACCCGCTAATGTCGGAAACCCCTAAATAAAGCCCCATCCCCACAGCCGGGGTGCATGCTTGTTTCGGGTTTTTGGTGGCTAGGGGGATGGGGGAGGGGGACTGGAATTCTACGCACGGGCCGACTGGTTTGCTTGCACCCTAATCCGAGCCCGCACCCGCCAGGGTCTTAAAAACCAAAGGAAGGGCCGGGCTCGACCCGAAACCCTAAACCCTAACTCCTAAACTCCAAGCCCTAAACCCCAAGCCGTAAACCTCAAACCCCGAAACCCAAACCCTATAAACCCCGTCAGCCCTAAGCCCTAACCCTCAGCCGGCAGGAGGTGGGGCTGGACGACCTGATGCCAGATCCGAACGACCTGCTGGAGAGGGGAAACTTAATAGCTGAATGCGTACACTTTACACTTTTTGGGATACTCTCATCCCCTATAGGACTGAAAAAGTATACACTTTTTTGGGGGGCTTGTGAACTCGGCATCTAAGGAAAGGAGTGATTTGCGACGTGGCCCCTCCTTTACTCACTGAGAACCAGTGAGGTTGATTTAGGGTGGCCTCTCTCGGCTTCAAGGGTGTACCTTGAGGACCTAAGCCCTAAGCCCTAAGCCCTAAACCCTAAACCCTAAACCCTAAACCCTAAACCCTAAACCCTAAACCCTAAATCCTAAACCCTAAGCCCTAAACCCTAAACCCAGCAACCCTGCAGGCTTGCAGCTGAATACAGCCGGTGCTGTCCAAGCAGAACCGAAAAGTCAATCAATTTCAGCTTGCACGAATCACATTTTGTTCAGACGATGACCTCTCTCTTCGGTCAGTCTGGAATCTGTACACTAGCAAACTGTACACTAGCACAATTCGACCCACTGTCGAGTTTGTGTACAGCGCATGTACATAGGCTATAAAATGGGTTCTGCCAGAAACCAGGCGAATATACATATATATATATGTATATTTATATATATATATCTATATGCTATGTATATATATGTATATGTATATTTATGTATATACACAGATTTATAGTTGATCATAAATCCATATGTATATATGTATATATATATAATATGCCCACTCAAATCATAATATGTTACAATTTGCATATCGCAGATCATAACTTATACACTACGAGGGTGCAGCACGTGTCCGAGTCCCAGTCGACGTCGCAGTGCAGAGCTTAGGATTTGTTAAGTGCCCAATCCTAAACCCTCAATCCTAAACCCTTAACCCTAAACCCTGATTTAATCCTAAGCCCTGAATCCTAAACCCTGAATCCTCAACCCTAAGCCTCTCAAATCCTAAGCCCTAAATCCTGAAGGTTTAGGGGTGGTGAAAGCCTTGAGGCCAGGCCTTCTTCTGGGTTTGGGGGTTGTGTGGAGGGAGTGGGGGGGGGGGGGTTGGGGGGGGTGGGGGGGGTTTAGGTTTTAGGGTTTTGGGTTTTGGGTTTTGGGTTTAGGGTTTAGGGTTTAGGGTTTAGGGTTTATTGAAACTATTAAGGGTTCAGGTCCGGGGAAGTTTCGAGGAGTTTCGAGGAGTTTCGAGGAAAGTTTCGGTTGTTGGACTTTTTAATAAATTCAAGTTACAGGGGGAGGCTTTAGGGTTTAGGGTTTATGGTTTAGTTTAGGGTTTAGGGTGTAGGGTGTAGGGTTTAGGGATTACTGTATTGATTCTTAGGCCTTACCGTCTGGGCCCTCAAGCCCCTCGGACCCCCCCCCCCCTTTTAATGGGTCCTGATTCCCTTTTTCGGATTCGGCCCTCCTAGTCCCCAAGGCCCTAAACCCGGGTGAAACCCCCTTAAAACGAAAGGGAGCGGGGGGCGGGGGGCGGGGGGGCACCATAGATAAAATCACGAAGAAACTTTGGTCACAAGTAAAGCTACTCATCGAAGGTTACGGCGATTCCGGAATGTAAACCTTGAAGCCTAAGACGGAAACCCTCCACCCCGGACCTCCACGTAGACTCACTCCTCTTGCTGAGGCTGTTAGGGGCTCAACGTGATCCCCACATACCAATGAACCCAAAACAAGGCGAAGCCCTAAACCTCCAACCCTACAACTGGAAGCCCTAGCCCTAGCCCCCCCCAAACCCTCGACTATCCTCAGCCCCAAAAGACTCAAGCCGAAAAACCCTGAACCCTAAACCTTACGCCAAGGTGTAGGTGCTACCGAATCCCTGTGTCCCCCGGTTTTCCAAGTGGAGCATCCCATGGGGACTCTCAACCCGATCATAGAGGACATGGAGGACTATCTGGGGTTTAGGGCGTGTGGTTTAGGGTTTAGGGTCTGGGGTTTAGGGTTTAGGGCTTTAGGGGTTTAGGGGTTTAGGGGTTTAGGGGTTTAGGCTATATTAGGTGTTCAGGGGTTAGGGGTTTGGGGGTTTGGGGGTTTGGGGTTTGTTTGGGGGTTTGTTTGGGGGTTTGTTTGGGGGTTTGTTTGGGGGTTTGTTTGGGGGTTTGTTTGGGGGTTTGTTTGGGGGTTTGTTTGGGGGTTTGTTTGGGGGTTTGTTTGGGGGTTTGTTTGGGGGTTTGGGTTGGTCCAAGGTACCTGAAGAAACTAGGGTCTTCAGGCATCCGATGGAGAACTTGAAGAGGGGAGTCGGTAGGTGGTGGGCTTCCTTAAGCCTAAGCTTAAACCCCAAACAACCCCAAACCCCCAACCCCAAACCCAACCCCAAACCCCAAACCCCAAACCCCAAACCCCAAACCCCCAAAAAACCCCAAACCCAAACCCCAAACCCCAAACCCCAAACCCCAAACCCCAAACCCCAAACCCCAAACCCCAAACCCCAAACCCTAAACCCTGAACCCTGAACCCTAAACCCTAAACCCGCAACCCTAAACCCTAAACCCTAAACCCTAAACCCTAAACCCTAAACCCTAAACCCTAAACCCTAAACCCTAAACTCTAAACCCTAAACCCTAGGACTGCGGGCTTGTGGGACAAGCCCTGCAAGCTGGTAGGTCATCACCCCCCAACCCTAACCCTGAACCTTAAACCCTAAACCCTAACCCCCAACATACTCGCTCACTGGGGCATCAGGTAGGGTTTCGTCGCCCAAATGCCCAAAGATTTCGGCTTCAAACAGCTTTAGGACCTGGGACTGACAGGGGTTGAGGGTTTAGGGTTCAGTGGCTTGAAGGCGCGAGGGTGTATGGGGGGGGGGGGGGGGGGGGGGGGGGGGGGGGGGGGGGGGGGGGGGGGGGGGGGGGTGTTGGGGAGGTGGGGGGGAGCGTCTTCATGGAGGGATGTCCGTAAGTTTGGGGAATTCGGGTTTAGGCGTTCACGGTTTTCTTAGGGTAGAAGGAAAGCTCACGACGTGTCTGCTGTCACGGTTTTCTTAGGGTAGAAGGAAAGCTCCTTCTGAAGCTCAGCCTGGAAGGACACGGAGATCAGCAGTTGGAAGGGTGTCTTTCACAGGCAGTGCTCTGGCCTGCCCATCTGGAAGCATGGGAAGAAGGTTCAGGGTTGAGCGTTGAGGGTGACCCTAAACCCTAAACCCTAAACCCTAAACCCTAACCCTAAACCCTAAACCCTAAACCCTAAACCCTGAACCCTGAACCCTGAACCCTGAACCCTGAACCCTGAACCCTGAACCCTGAACCCTGAACCCTGAACCCTGAACCCTAAACCCTAAACCCTAAACCCTAAACCCTAAACCCTAAACCCAACCCTAAACCCTAATCCCATGGATGCTTTGGAGTTTGGCGATCAGTGTTTCTTTTTTTGGGTGCCCCGTCCTCCCGCACGGTTCCCACCAAATCACCAGCTTCCTTCAACACAGACCCTAAACCCTAAACCCTAAACCCTAAACCCTACACCCTAAACCCTAAACCCTAAACCCTAAACCCTAAACCCTAGACCCTAGACCCTAGACCCTAAACCCTAAACCCTAAACCCTGAACCCTGAACCCTGAACCCTGAACCCGGAACCCTGAACCCTGAACCCTAAGCCTTAAACTTGGGATGTTCCCCCTTGAACTAACAGTCCTTAATATTGATTTCAGTACCCCCTCCCCCCTATTATCATCCCCATCAAGGAGTGTTAGTAGAAGGGGAACATCCCAACCTTAAACCCATCCCCCTCAAAAATGTCCTGTGTTTTGGGTTTAGGGTTAGGGTTTAGGGTTTAGGGTTTAGGGTTTAGGGTTTAGGGTTTAGGGTTTAGGGTTTAGGGTTTAGGCTTTAGGGTTTAGGGTTTAGGGTTTAGGGTTGAGGGTTGAGGGTTTAGGGTTTAGGGGTTAGGGTTTAGGGTTCAGGGCTTGAGACTGAGGCGCTCAGGTTCCAGCAGCGGACGCTACCGATGGTGCTGCTGCCGCTGCTGCCCACGCTTCCGGAGGTGGGTGGTTGGTCCTTCTGTGTCCCTTCTCTTGGGCTAAGTGTAAGGGTTTAACGTTTAGGGTTTAGGGATAGGGTTTAGGGTTCAGAGTTCAGGGTTTGGGGTTGGGACGTGGCCCCCTATACTAGCCCTAAGCCCTAGAATCACCAACTCTACAAGCCCGTCAAGCTCTCTAAATCCAACGACCCCGCAGAGACCTCCCTCCCCTGCTGCAAACCTTCCAAGCGAAGAAACCCCTCAACATCCAAACCCTAGGCTCATCTGAAAAACCATTCCAATCTAGAAAACCTTTCTTTTACCTGCATACCCTCTACTCAAGGCAAACTTAGACGGTATGTTATTTCATCTCGAGATCAGGAGCCGCCCTCAAACCCTAGACTCTAAGCTCTGAAGCAAAGGCCCTAAACACTACGCCCCGCCCTCTCGCATCCCTTAACCTCAAATTTTAACACTCACCCAGACCATGTTGAAGGTTTTCTCTTCACGAACAGTTGCCGCGCGGCCGATTGAGATTCGTGTCTCCAAGCCCTACACCAAACCCTAGACCCTAGACCCTAAACCCTAAACCCTAAACCCTAAACCCTAAACCCTAAACCCTAAACCTCAAACCTCAAACCCTAAACCCTGAACCCTAAACCCTAAACCCTAAACCCTAAACCCTAAACCCTAAACCGTAAACCCTAAACCCTAAACCTCCGGAGCCCTTATAAGACCACAGCACCTGTAGGCTTATGTCGACGGACCCTTGGGGGGGGCTCTTCAAAGGGCCAGGTTAGTTTGGGTTTAGGGTTTAGGGTTGAGGGTTGGGGATTGAGGGTTGAGGGTTTAGAGTTTAGGGCATAGGGTCGTAGGGTTTGGGGTTTAGGGTCGCAGGGTTTAGGGCCAGTTTAGGGGTCAGGGGTCTATATGGCTTCCCCCACCCCACGCCCCTCGGTGGTGAGGGTTAGGCTTTAAGGCTTAGGATTTAGGGATTCAGGGTTTGGGCTTTGCGATTTTCAGGAGTCCTGAGGGTTTGAAGGGTTTGTTTTGGGAAAAGCAGGTTGCGCGGTCACCCTGAACCACACAGTGGGAGAAGTGTTCCGGGCCAGGGCGTGAAGGTTTTTGGGTTGTGGGACGATGTCATGAAATATTAGAAGTTAGGTATTTTTGCTTTAGGCGGGTTAGGCTGGGTGGGTGGGTGGGGGATACCATGACACGCCGGAACGATATTGAATAGGGTTGAAGCCCTAAGGTTTTGGCTGTGGGGTTTGAGGTTTTTCCGGTTCAGGGGGTGTGGGGGGGGGGGGGGGGGGGGGGGGGGGGAAGGCCGCAGGATTTTCAGAGGTTTGGACATGCTGGGTTTTAGGGTTCGGAAGAGGGGATCCAGGGGTTTCGAGGTCTTGGTGTTGGGGTTGAGGGGTTTGAGAGTTTAGAGTTTAGGGGTTCGGGAGTTTAAGAGTTCAGAGGTCTGGGCGGTTCGGGTGGTGTAGGTGCTAAGCCCGAAAAGCCTAAACCCAAAACCCAAAACCCTAAACCCCCACTCTGCAAGCCGCAAGCTGGCCCACCCCTGAGGGTTATGACGTTTCAAAGCGAGGCCTCTCATGGGTTCAGGGTTTAGGGTTTAGGGTTTAGGGTTTCGGGTTTAGGGCTTAGGGTTTTCGGTATGTATGCCCAAGTCCTGCAAACCCCATAACCCTAAACCCCTAAGCCCCCAAACCCTAAACCCCTAAACCCTAAACCCTAAACCTGAAACCCCGGACACATCGCAAGCACCCGTGAGGTTGTTATCTCCGGAGGCTGACTCGCTATCGGCCCCCTGGCCCAGCTGGAGCTAAACCCCAAACCCTAAACCCTAAACCCTGTAAGGGTTTTGGGCTTCAAGGGTAGAACCGCTTGAAAGGTTTAAGGTTTCAAGGGCGTGGTGGGTCTAGGGTTTAGAGATTGAAGGTCTATTGCGGGTCTACCGGAAACTACTTAGCCCAGCAACCAGATTTGTTATAAAGCTTCAGGGATCTAATAACAGGGACCCAGAACCTCCAAAAACGATGCCACTGGGATTTCCTGCGAGCCCTGAGTCCTTGAAACCCCTAAGCCCCTGAAACCCTGCCAGTTTCGGCCTCCGGACCAGTAAGCCCTCTGTATACTTCTTAAAAGAAAGAGTTTACAAGGGGGGTATGTAACCCAGCATCCCCTAATACTCCCCACTACTCCCTGAGGCTCCCTAAGCTTCCTGAGGTACCTACCCCCCCCCCCCCCCCCCCCCCCCTCCCCCCCCCCTCCCCCCCCCCGCGAACCTAAACCCTAAACCCTAAACCCTAAACCCTAACCCTAAAACCCAAGCCCCAAACCCCAAACCCCAAACCCCAAACCCCAAACCCTAAACCCTAAACCCTAAACCCTAAACCCTAAACCCCAAACCCCAAACCCTAAACCCTAAACCTAAACCCTAAACCCCAAACCCCAAACCCTAAACCCCAAACCCTAAACCCTAAACCCCAAACCCTAAACCCTAAACCCCCAACTATCCCCCCAAGAGCCGAGGCCTCCCCGAGCTGGAAGCTCAAGAGGCTCCAAGAGTCCATAGACAATGGCGTCCACGCCCTGGGCGTCGGTGGGGGTCCCCGGAATTCTGGGGGGGTGTAGGTGTGTAGGGGTTTAGGGGTGTAGGTGTGTAGGGGTTTCGGGTTTAGGGTTTGGGGCTTCGGGTTTAGGGTTTAGGACTGTGGAGTGTAGGTGTTCAGGGTTTAGGGCTTTGGGTTTTGGGTCTAGGGTTAGGGCTTCGGGGTTGAGGTTTTAGGGGTAGGGGTCTGGGGTTTAGGATTTAGGGGCTTAGGGAGTTGAGGGTTCAGGGTTTAGGGTAGGATGCAAGGGGGTTGATGGCTTTAAGGCTGTTGGAAGGGAAGGTTGTTTTTAGGGCTTCAGGTTGTGAAGTAAGGGTCCAGGGGATTTTGGGGGCTGCCCGGGCTTTGAGTGAGACATCTTCACCTGGGGTTTAGGCTCAAAACTTTTTCGTGTTTGGTTCAAGCTAGATGTTCACCCTGAACCCTAAACCCCAAACCCTAAACCCTAAACCCTAAACCCGAAACCCTAAGATTGCCCCCGCTGGAGGACATTGCAGCTGACTACCCCAAACATTAAATGTATCCGGATATCATCCACCGACGGCAATTCTTTTGTTTGGACACGTACTCTCAAGGGTTTAGGGTTCACCAGGCCAACAGACTGGATGAATCAAAATCGAACAGACCCACGCCGAGGGTGGGGGAGAAACAAAAGAGGAAAGAAACAAGACGCAGGACTTTTGCCTCCTTCTCCTTAGCCTGAAAAAGGAAAGCTCGAAAGGCCCTAAAAACTTGGTAATTGGGCCAGTGGTGCCCTTTATCCTTTTTTTGGTTCAAGCTTCCCTTAAAAAGCAACCAACCCCAAAAAGGGCTGCCCTGATTACAATAATGGTTACTGGGCTACCAAGAAGCGGGTTTACGAATATGGGGGACCCCTAACATAGACCCCCAAATGGTAGGACTCCATAATAGCAAGGACCCCAATAAGGTACCCCAATGTCGGAGAATCCAAGAAAACCTCGGCCCTAACCCCTAAACCCTAAACCCTAAACCCTAAACCCTAAACCCTAAACCCTAAAACCTAAACCCTAAACCCTAAACCCTAAACCCTAAACCCTAAACCCTAAAGCCTAAACCCCTAAACCCTAAACCCTAAACCCTAAACCGGAAAGAAAGCCAAGGCTTGGGCGGGGCCATGCCCCGCGTTTCGAAATTTGCCCGGGCTCAGACGGTGCGTTTCAAGGACAGCTGAAGTGCAGGCTGCAGGTTTCCGCGGAGCCGAAATAGCTACCAATAGTATCCCATTACAACCCCTTAAGAATACGGGTGTACTTAGCATTGTCTACCTACAATTTGATTTCAGTTTCGGCTATTTGGCCCGAATATAACGTCCCTAACAGGGTTCAGGGGTTAGGAGTTTAGTCTAAACCCGGAACCCTCAACCCTCCTAAGCCCTAAATGGGGCATGCAGCCCTCAAATCCCAAGGTCTTCAAATCCCAAGGTCTTTAAAAGCCTTAGGGTTTAGGGTTTAGGGTTTAGGGTTAGGGTTTAGGGTTTAGGGTTTGGGTTTAGGGTTTAGGGTTTAGGGTTTAGGGAGGCGCAGAGCATGCCTCGAGGCCTCAATCCCCAGCACACCACCCAGGCTCCGACAGGGTTTTGAGTTCCTTACGAATTATAAGTGTTGGTGAGTGTCTAAGACGTTAAGTTATACTGTTATGATTAACGTTTGCCGAGAGTTTTGTTTTGTTGTAAAGTTAGCAGACACAGCAAATCCAAAAGACTTAGTTGATGCATTAGACTTCTGTGGTGCTTGGTCAGAATCTCAGCAGTAGCACCCAATGCATTAAATTGTACGGAAGTATCAGATGGGATGTCCTCGTGGGGGTACTAGCAATCAACATACTGTTTGAGATCGCTAGCGGGCCCTATAGGCATTTGGGTCGAAGGCGTAAACGGGTTATAGGGTTTGGGGCTTAGCCTTTGCACCTTGCAGGGGTTTACGGGGCTTACAGGGTTTGGAGCTAAGATCGATTTGGGATTCGGTGTTCCGGGTTTCGGGCTTGATTTGCGACTCGCGTTGTGCTAAGGTTTTTTACTGGAAGTTGAGTTTTTGTAGCTTATCAGGGGGGGGGGAAGAGGGCGGCACACTCTCAAAGCCCCAAATCCTTAAGCCCTAAACCCTTGAAGCTCTTGAAACCCTTGAAACCCTTGAAACCCTTGAAGCCCTTGAAACCCTTGAAACCCTTGAAACCCTAAACTCCACACCCCAAACACCCCAAACACTGCTCAGGACATGGTCGCAACTCCAACCAACATCGCCCTCCTGCTCGGCTTCGTTCGGCCCACAGTCCGGTTGTCTCAGAGCTTAGGGATACTTGGAAATACTTCTCAACTTTTGGGCACTACAATTCCTAAGAAACAGCTGAATATTAGAGTTTTTGCAAGGGTGCCAAATTCAGTATACACCCCTGTGTCGCCTCGGACATAACTTTCCCACCTCGGTTTGCAAGAGAGGAGGCTTTTGGAGGCTGAGCCTTCAGGATTTTCGAAGCTGTCCGGTTCTTTCTGTTTTTTTCGGGGGGGGGGGGGACCTTTGGGCCCCAGGATCTGGTTTAGGGTTTAGGGTTTCGGGTTTAGGGTTTAGGGTTTAGGGTTTAGGGTTTGTTTAGGGTTTCGGGTTTAGGGTTTAGAGTTTTGAGATATCGGGTTTAGGGACTTCGGGATTCTTTTTGTCCAAGGGTAGTAGATTCATGGGCCCTTAGTATGGCCCCTCACCTCCTTTAAAGGGTTCTGAAATATGGGCCCTTAGGCTTTGTAGGGTTTCTAAGGGGTATATAAGGGATACCCCCTGAACCCTAAACCCTAAACCCGAAACCCGAAACCCTAAACCCTAAACCCTAAACCCTAAACCCTAAACCCTAAACCCTAAACCCTAAACCCTAAACCTTAAACCCTAAACCCTAAACCCTAAACCCCCATTTTTTTTTTTTAGGGCCCATACTCCGCTTTGTGGAAGCCAGGCCAGACTTGAAGTGAAGCGACGGTATACCATGTAATAGGTTTCAGGGTTTAGGGTTTAGGGTTTGGGGTTTAGGGTTTAGGGTTTAGGGTTTATTTTGTGAGGCTTGCCGTGCGCTCAAGATGGGAAACATAGAGGCGCGCGCGTAAGCGCCCGAGCCAGGTTGTAGGGTGAGTTCTCTAAATTAGGATCCCTTTGTTGGGTACCCTGAAGAAGAGCGGCCGCCTTATCATAAGGACCCCAAAAGCAACCATCAATTTGGAGACCTCACCCCTTGCATCGCTCTTTCAAGTTTCTTGTGATCCCGTATGAGGAAAAATCTTCCGAAAATTCGGGGCCCGGGGCATGGAAGTTGGGTGGTTTTGTGGGTAATTACATCTGAGCGGCCTCCTAAGGCACCCGTTCAGACCAAAACCTGGCCGGGTGTCCCCGCGATTGGACGGTGCATGCAATGTCGGCGAAAACCTACATCCTAAACCCCAAACCCCAAACCCCAAACCCCAAACCCCAAACCCTAAACCCTAAACCCTAAACCCTAAACCCTAAACCCTAAACCCTAAACCCTAAACCCGAAACCCGAAACCCTAAACCCTAAACCCTAAACCCTAAACCCCTAACCCCTAAACCCTAATCCCTAAACCATAAACCGTGCGGATCTTTGCTCAATTTCATCTCCCGAGATGCGCAGAGGCGAAAGCAAGCCGACTCCACGAGCCTTGCACAGGCGATCGGAGCGGCCCACAGTGTCGTGATGCCCTTGACTACGTCCATGGCCACCCTCGAGGGAGGTGAATATTACCGTGAACTTATCTCCGAAGGCCCAGGCACAGAGGTGCCGGTGCCTGCAAGCATTATCGCGGGCACTTTCGAATGTGACAAGGATGGCCCAGCTGAGTTCGCCCAGCGGATGAAGCGCAGGATCTGGGATATCGGGTTGAGGGACGTCGGGCTTGTTTTTGTCTAAGGGTAGTTTCATGGGCCCTTAGCGTGCGTGGTCCCTCACCTCCTTTAAAGGGTTCTGATTTACGGGCCCTTGGGCTTATAGGGTATATAAGGGGTACAAAGTGATCCCCTTTCAAGGGCCCGTACTAAGGGATCTTGTGGGGCTTGCCATGCGCTTCCAACCCTGCTCAAGATGGGAAACATTCAGGTGGGCGCGTAAGAACCCGAGCCGGGTTATATGGTGGGTTCTCCAAATTAGGGTCCCTTCTTTAGTCCCTTCAATCTCTGCGTGGATGTTCAGGGCGAAGTTCAGGGTACTTATAACCCCAATTAGAACTGCACTTCCTAGCCCCCTACGTCCTGGAAGTATGTTATAAGTAGACTTATACCTGGGGTTATAAGTACCCCTGAACCGCCAAGTGGGCGCTGAGGCGGTCAGTATGCCGGTCTCTGTGGGCCTCAACTACACCCGCGCCTACACCCTGAACGTTCCTTGCCTGAGCTGAGCTGTCTTAGGATTCAGTGCTCAGGAGTTTAGGGCCGTTGAGGGGTTTGGGCCGTTTTAGGGGTTTGGGAGCATTTAGGGGTTCATTGGTTTAGGGTTTAGGGGTTTAGGGGTGTAGGCGTTTAGGGGTTTAGGGGTTTAGGGGTCGATGGGTTTAGGGGTTTGGGGGTTTAGGGGTTAGGGCTTAGGGGGCCCGCCATATAGTAGTGACATCAAAAGAGACCATTGCTTAGAGAAGTGACGCATTGAAGTTCTGGGCAATGAAGTTCTGGGCACGCCAAAGCCACAGAGGGGTGCGGCTTTTCGCAATACCCTGAGCGATGACCACCCCCTTCAGGCTCGGAGCCCGAGAAAATACATGATTCTGCTCATCTAAACTAGACTATGGTGGCAGGAGACCATCTTCAAGACGGACATCAACTCACGGACGGAGGCTGGGCCCTGTTTCTCTTTTGAATGATAAAGGTTTAGGGTTTCGGGTTTAGGGTTTAAGGCTTCTTGTGGCGGCCAACCGTCAAGAGTTCGTGTTTCGTGTTTGGGGCTCCCGAAGCCCGCCACCAGTTCAAACCCTAAAACCGGAACCCTCAAGCATCAGACCCGAAACCCTACACCCCAAAACCTACACCCTAAACCCTGAAGCACTTAGGATCCGAAACCCCGAGCCCCTCAGTCACTTCGACCCTAAGCCCTATGTAGACCCTATGCCAAGCCCAAAAACCGAAGCAGTGCAGGCCTTGTCACGACTGGCCGCCATCCCGGTGGTGTGCGCCTCCATCAACTGGTTCGTGCAGCACCTTCGGAAGACCGCAAAGGGGATGGGACTAAGGCTGCTTCAGGGGTTTAGGGTTTAGGGTTTAGGGGCAGGGTATGTATATTTTCGGAAGACCACAAAGGGTGGTTAGACGGGGGCGCAAGGTTCAAAGTCTGGCGAAGGGGGACAGAGTGGGGGAACGGTTGAAACCCTAAACCCTAACCTTAAACCCGAAACCCTAAGCCCTAAACCCTCAAACCCAAAAGCTGGCGTAGGGGTGCGGGATCAGGGGGGGAGAGGGGGGGGGTGTAAGGCTACAGCTAACGCGATCCCGAGCTTCCCCCACCCCCACCTCCTGTCAGCAGCCCACTTAGGGTTTAGGGTTGAAGAGTTTAAGGGTTTAAAGGGTTTAAGTTTAAGGGTTTAAGGGTTAAAGGGTTTAAGGGTTTAAAGGGTTTAAAGGGTTTAAAGGGTTGAAGGGTTTAAGGGTTTAAGGGTTTAAGGGATTAAGGGATTAAGGGTTTAAGGGTTTAAGGGTTTAAGGGTTTAAGGGTTTAAGGGTTTAAGGGTTTAGGGGTTTAAGGATTTAAGGGTTTAAGGGTGTAAGGTTTTAAGGGTTTAAGGGTTTAAGGGTTTCAGCGTTAAGGGTTTAAGGGTTTAGGATCAAGCAGGCTATGGCACAGCAGACGCAACTCAGATCACAGACCCAGACCCTCATGTCCTTCACTTAGAGTTAGGGTTTAGGGTTTAGGGTTTAGGGTTTAGGGTTTAGGGTTTAGGGTTTAGGGTTTAGGGTTTAGGGTTTAGGGTTTAGGGTTTAGGGTTTAGGGTTTAGGTTTAGGGGTTAGGGTTTAGGGTTTAGGGTTTAGGGTTTAGGGTTTAGGGTTTAGGGTTTAGGGTTTAGGGTTTAGGGTTTAGGGTTTAGGGCATCCTACAGCACTATGCCACATGGACTCGGTTTACTTGAAGCTCGTTTGGGTTAGCAAGTCTACTTCGCATCCCCCCGGAAATTTTATAATTTCCAGAACCCAACTTACCCTACTTGCTGCATGAAAAGGGCTTCCATGTATACTACTTGGGTAGTTCTCTGTATTAGTTTTGGGTCCTACGTATAGTACGTACGGCACCTTTACAAGAAGGAACCCTGAACCCTAAACCCTAAACCCCAAAACCCCAAACCCCAAACCCCAAACCCTAAACCCTAAACCCTAAACCCTAAACCCTAAACCCTAAACCCTAACTTTGTGTGTGCTGCCAGGACTGTATTCTTCTGGGAGAGACGGAACGAAGACAGGCGCACAGGGTTGGGATCGAAACCAATGAACCCCTAAACCACCCCAGAACCCAAAAAGCCCACTCAACACTAAACCCTAAACCCTAAACCCTCAACCCTAAACCCTAAACACTGAACCCTAAACCCTAAAGCGTAAGCCCTAAACCCTAAACCCACCCCCCCAAACCCTAAAGCCTTCGCCCGGCTTTGGTTGATGACAAACGGAGTTTTCAGGAGCCTCGTAGGCCACGGACACCTATGCCCCCACCGCAGAGCACGCAGCACGCAGCCTTAAATTCTGCCCCCAACCTCGGTTAGGGTTTAGCGTTTAGGGTTTAGGGTTTAGGGGTTAGTCTCGGAGTTGCGGGGGCTGCCAGTTAAACTGCAGGGATTCGGGTTTGCGGTTTGGATTAGGTTTTGGGTTGAGGCTTTCGATTGAATGTGAGGGTCAGGAAGCATGAAGCATGCAGGGTCTCTCTTTTTTCTCCGAGTTTTGATAATAAACCCGAAGCCAACTTGTTGTAAATTACTTTGCAACCCTTAGGCGGACATCCAGGATTGGAGGATGGCGGACTAGACTTCTCCTATGATAAGGTACGGCTTTTGAGGGTCAGAGCTACTTCAAATCTTGCGAAAGTACCGGACGGTGGACGGGACCCTCAACCCCGCACCCTACACTTTAACCCTAAACCCTAAAACCTGACCCTAAGCCTTCATCTCAGTCTGGAACCATTTTGGGGACTTCCCGCCCCAAAAACACCCAAACTACAAAGCAAGTTTCGGCATGAAGTATCGGAACCTTGATTCTGGGGGACACTTGTGGCACCTGGGAGCCCAGTGGTTCGCCTTTCCCTTCTTTTGGTTCAAGGATCCCTCACAAAGTAACCAACCCAAAAAGAGAGTGCCCTTATTCTAGTATGGTCACTGGCGGCCAAGGTTTCTGCATACATGTCAACCCTGACAAACCCAAGCAACCGGAGCTTTCTGGAGACTTTTTACAAAATCATGCCTGTCCCTGAGCATGAAGCATACCTGCGACTCTATGTACCAAAAGATGAGTAGCAACTACCCTTAATTAGTAGCTATGACCCATGAGGCTGTAGGTAAGGAGTGTCCCAGGTAGACAAGTAAGGTCGAAGGCTGGGAGCTCACACGAGTTGCAGGTTTCTGCCCCTCTACACTGGCCGGCACAGCTGGTGGGACTTGTGGTCTCTGGGACCTTTGGCTGCCTAAGGCAAAAGCAGGCTTAGCTGTTTCTTCCCCCATTCTCCTCGCCCGGTCTACTCCTCGCTCATCCCTGGAGTGCCCAACCCCAAAGTGTGCCTGGAGCCCAACCCCAGAGCTGGAGTGCCCAAGCCCAGAGTGTCCCTGGAGTGCCCAACCCCAGTACCTGGAGCACCCAGAGTGAGAGAGTCCTGGAGTGCCCAACCCCAAAGTGTGCCTGGAGTGCCACCCCAAAATGTCCCTGGAGTGCCCAACCCCAAACAATTCCAAATCTGTAGGATGCGGATTTTCGAGGTGAAGTGTTTTTTAGCCCCCAGCCCGGACCCTAAATTCTAAGTCCTAAACCCTACCCCCTAAATCCTCGCCCCCACAGCTAGGGATAGTATACTAGCCCCACTCGCCGAATTCCCCTGCTCGAAGTACAGCCGGGCTTTGAATTGTTAGTGTTTACGGTCTCGGGTCCCTAAACCCTAAACCCTAAACCCTTAACCCCTATACACCTTCAGCTCCCAAACCCTTCTCAAGCACAAGGCCCCATGACTATGGCATCCCTGTTTCTGATACGGAATGCTTGCTGCCACATGCTGGAGGACTGGATGCAGCCCAAAGTTTACGATCTTAGGTTCTTAGGTGGGTTGTACCAGGAGGGGGGGGGAAGGGGGGGTTTCGACCCGACCCAAAAGTATGGCCTGCATACCTTCATTTGGTGAAGTACTGGGCTCCTAAACCCTAAACCCTAAACCCTAAACCGTAAACCCTAAACCCCTTGGCGGTTGCTGGAAAGGCATCGATTGCCTTCTTGCTGTCATCGTTCTTTACGCTGCCCTGCCTGACGTGTAGGGGTGATCTAGTGGGTATACGCACGCATAGGCGTGAAATTGATTGTTGACTTTCCGCAGGACCACGTGGCTGAGCAGGTTTACTTCTGCCCCTCGGCCTGTCTGGCAGGGTTGGGATTTATAGGGGGGAGGTACGTGATCATGGGTAGCTATAAGTAGGGTTCTAAGTTCAGTTCGTCATGGTGTGAGTCTGAAGAAGCTCCCGGAAGGCGTAGCTTGAAACAAAGTCCTTTGCAAACGCACCGTCTGTGTTCTTTTAAATGGTATTTGCTGCTAAATTTATGAAGGTTGTCTTTCTGTTATCGTGACCACTTTGCGAGGGGTTATCAAAATCAAAAGCCATGGGTTCAGGGTTGAGGGTTTAGGGCCTAGGGTTGTACGAGAGGACAGAAGAAGCGAAGATTACAACGAGAAAAAGCGAAGGAGACAAGAAGAGGAAACAAACGACAACAGTCAATAGAAACCTCGTCTTGGGAGGAGTACCCTAAACCCTACACCCTAAACCCTAATCCCCTAAATCCCTAAATCCCTAAATCCTTAAATCCCTAAATCCTTAAATCCCTAAATCCCTGAATCCCTAAATCCCTGAATCCCTAAACCCCTAGATCCCTAAATCCCTAAATCCCTAAATCCCAATACTAGAATCCCGATTAAGGACTCTTAGTCGAAGGGGGAGCATCCCAAACAGCAGCTTGCATCACAGGCTTCACTGGTGGCATGGTGCTTCTGGCAGTTTACGGCTACTTCATGGTGCTGGACAAGTCCCATGCCCCAGACAGGGGTTCAAGGGTTAGGGTTTTAGGGTTTAGGGTTTAGGGTATATATATATATATACTTGAAGTTTCATGGGTAGGTTCTAGGTCGCCCTAAGTAAGGTGATAACCAGCTATAACTCTGCAGCCCTACGTATCTACTAGTTGCTTAAGAACCGACATAAACGTCCCATTGCCATTACAAGGAAAATATGATTTGTACGCATTTGTCTGTATATATATGTATAATATAATATATTTATATTTATATAATTATGTTTATATTTATATTTGCATTTTTTGTTGGGGGGGGGGGGTCTTACGCAAATAGTAGTTATAGCTAGCTACCCATGAACCGACAGAGGTTCAGAGGCCGCACCTCCCCAAGTCGAGCGTTGACCCTAAACCTTAAAGCCCTAAACCCTAAACCCTGAACCCTAAACCCTAAACCCTAAACCCTAAACCCTAAACCCTAAACCTTTGAGACGCCCTATGAGTTCACGAGGTCACCAAAAACAGAGAAGGGCCTATGGCTTATACTACAATTTGTTTAAGAACCCCCGAGAACATTAGAATAAATATTCTTCCTTATAAGGGCAACGCAGGGACTGCTATCTTTTTTATCTTTTGGGGGCTCTGAAGCAAATAGTAGGCTTGGCTGCTCAATAGGGTTTCCTTGGGTGTTGAACCCCATCGACCGTTTTGTGGTTGCCATGAGCCCTCGGCGGAACCCAACAAAAGCTCGCCAAATGAGACGTCCCTTTGAAGCATTCAACGCTGACGCCTGTTTGGGTTCTCCCACTACTTGGAATAGCCACAACCTACTAAAAAGTAGCGTTGCTTATGGCCAAAGTTTCTCTGTAGGTATATCAACAAAAATATATATGTATATATATATATATACATGTATGTGTATCCTTGTTTATTGTATCTATTTAGGGTCTACAAACTACTATCTTCTTAAGCAGCCTCCCCACCCACCCCCTCACCCCCCCCCCCCCCCCCCCCCCCCTCCCCCCCCCCCCAAAAAAAAGAAACCGAATGTTCTTCCCTAGAAATGGGCAGTGTGGGGATGGTTGTCTTTATATTTTTTTGCGGGGGTGGGAGGGGGTTCTTAAGCAAGTAGTAGCCCAGCTCTTATGTGTGCGCGTGTCTATATATATATGTATATATATACATATATATATATATATATATCTGTATTTATTTAATATATATTTTTTTTTTGGGCGGGGGGGGCGGTGGGGGGGTGAGGGGGGGGGGATGTTCTTGAGCAAATAGTAGCCCGGTTCCCAGGATCGACGACAACGTGCAGAACATGATCATGGACCAGGCGGGGACATGGAGCGGAGATACGTTGGGGGAGTTTAGGGTTTGGGGTTTGGGGTTTAGGGTTTGGGGTTTGGGGTTTAGGGTTTGGGGTTTTGGGTTTGCTCCTGTTGCCATGGCATCTTTCCGCAGGAGATCATCAACCAGAGCAAGTGCGTCCAGAAGATGCAGGACATAGCGCCCTGGCAAATAGCCGGATCACCCCTGAACCCTGAACTCTAAACCCTAAATCCTAAACCCTAAACCCTCCCTAAGCTGCCAATCCAACATGCGGATCGGGCACGGCTCCGAAATCAAAGAACGCTGAAGCGCGCAGCCATCTCAGCCTAGGCACGTCCGCCCACTCCCAATTTCCAAGCTAATGCGCCGCTAGACCCCAAACCCTAAACCCTAAACCCTAAACCCTAAACCCTAAACCCTAAACCCTAAACCCTAAACCCTAAACCCTAAACCCTAAACCCTAAACCCTAAACCCTAAACACACCTCCAAACCCAGAAACCTCAAAGGATGCCCTAAGCCCTTGACCCCCTCGAGCGGCCTGCCTTGAGGTGACCAAGAACACGCGGACCCACAAGAAGGATCGGGACATCGTGTCCCTTGGATGTGGGGGTTAGGGTTTAGGGTTTAGGGTTTAGGGTTCAGGGTTTAGGGTTTAGGGTTTAGGGTTTCGGGTTTAGGGCTGAGGGCTGAGGGCTTTAGGGCTTTTCTTGCAAGGGAGTGCAAGTTGTTATTGGGAGTTCCTGAAAGTTTTGAATTGCTTTGTTTGTTGGCGCAGTTCTGTTTTGTGCAGATCTCTCAGTTCGGGGCCTTAAACCCCAAACCCCAAACCCTAACCTGAAAGTCCACCTAGACCCCCAAGTACCCTGTAAAATGTCCTGAATACCCCGCCATTTAGGTACACTGAGGCCCTCGTTTAGGGGTACTAAATCCCAAACCCTGAACCCTGAACCCTAATACTAAACCCTAAACCCTAAACCCTAAACCCTAAACCCTAAACCCTAAACCCTAAACCCTAAACCCTAAACCCTAAACCCTCTAAGGTACAGCTTCGCGCACACGCACACGGTTCCCGCCAAGGCCGGGTCCTGGCCGGTTGGTCTTTCACTGCGGGGGTTTCAGGGTTTAGGGTTTAGGGTTTAGGCGCGCACGTATTTAGAGGGTTACTCGGCTCCTGTCACGAAAACATAGTGTAATCATTCATCATGATAAGAAGACTCAAATAACAGCTATAGAACCCGAACCATCTGAACCCCCAAGCCCTGAACCCCAAGCCCCAAACCCCAAGCCCCAAACCCTAAACCCTAAACCCCAAACCCTAAAACACCCTAAACCCTAAACCCCAAACCCTAAACCCTAAGCCCACCCTGAAAAGGTCCCTAAGCCCTGCAGAGCCAAACCCTAAACCCTAAACCCTAAACCCTAAACCCTAAACCCTAAACCCTAAACCCTAAACCCTAAACCCTAAACCCTAAACCCTAAACCCTAAAAACTAAACCCTAAACCCTAAACCCTAAACCCTAAACCCTAAACCCTAAACCCTAAACCCTAAACCCTAAACCCCCCCTCCCAAGCCGAACCGCCTGGGAGGTTCTTCACTATATCTGGTCGATCTACTACCTTGTAGGCTCCCAGCGCTGGGGGGGGCTAAGGGGCTGGCGTCTATAGGGTTTAGGGTTCAGGGTCTATAGGGTTTAGGGTTTGGGGTTTAGGGTATAGAGTCTTAGAGTCTATAGGGTTTGGGGTTTGGGGTTTGGGGTTTGGGGCCTGGAAAGCTTTAGGGTTTGGGACGTAGAGGGCCGCCAGTAGAGGGTTGGTAAACTTAGGGGCCGCCGAAAGTCTGAATTTGCCAAGAGAAACCTCAATTCGCAAGGGTTTGTATGGGGTTTTCGAAATTAAAGCCCCCAATATAGATCCCGAAATAGTAGGATTCCCTGAAAATAAGTTGTCCTGGACCCCTCCCCCTCTCCAAGCAAACCTTCACAAGGGCCTAGGTGTACCTTCGTGGGGGTAAATCCTAAACCCTAAACCCTAAACCTTAAAGAGTACTTGGGGGGAGGGTCTCCGGTTCGATGGGTGCTACACGTGCTTTTGGTGCTTTGGCAAAAGGCGGCGAGGCTTTGGGGATTCGGTTGCAGGCCTTCCCCTTGACTCTCATACTGAGGGATTTAGGCATCTTATGTCCCCTCGATTATGCTCTTTATGGAATTCTATAGCGTACCTCCGTCATTCCCTACAAAGAACCAGTAGGGCTTGACAAGTCCGATGCTGGTACTGGGAGGTTCATGGTACCCATTAACCAACTACAACATGTACTTCGAACCCACTTATAAGCCCCTCAAGTGCCCTAATATGGTTATAAGTACAGCTATACCCTAAACCCTAAACCCTAAACACGAAACCCTAAACCCTAAACCCTAAACCCTAGTAACAACCGCTCAATGGTATAGGTTTTTCCGGAGCCTTCCCCTCCAGGCAAGATCCTGGGCGCGCTGATCGTGATCGCCGCCTTGCAGCACCAGGGCTTGTGAGCAGTTTAGGGCTTGCGGTTTAGGGATTAGAGTTCAGGCTTGAGGGCTTAGGATAAACCCGAGATCTGTAAATTCTCAAGCCTTAAGACCTAGACCCTAAACCCGAAACGCCCAGACCCCCCTACGTCCCTAAATTCCCAAGCCCGCAAACCCCAGCCCCCAGACCCAAAAACTCTCCGCCCTCCGCTCTTCCGCGCCCACGCCACGAACAAAATCAAACAACATCACGGGAGCGGCTCTCGGAGGGTGTAAGGGTTTAGGGTTTAGGGTTTAGGGTTTAGGGTTTAGGGTTTAGGGTTTAGGGTTTAGGGTTTAGGGTTTAGGGTGTGGGAGTTGAGGGCTTAAGGGGTTTTGGGGGCAGGCCTACTTCGCGCAAATCGACGCGGACACAATCAACCGCTTCGTTCTCGGCAGTGCCCCGGCGGCCCCTTTTTTGGGTTTAGGGTTTAGAGTTTAGGGTTTAGGGTTTAGGGTTTAGGGTTTAGGGATTCTGGTGGCCCTTTTTTGTGGGGTTTAGGACTTAGGGGTTAGGGACTCTGGGTTTTTGGATTTTGGAACCTACTAGTTTCCATGATGTTAGTAGGCTTCGGGGTCTTTACCAGTGTTTCAGGCATGCAGAATTTAGGGTCTCAGCCTCAACGCTACACCCTAAACCCCAAACCCTAAACCCTAAACCCTAAACCCTAAACCCTAAACCCTAAACCCCAAACCCTAAACCGCACATCTTTGGTTTGGTGGGGGAGGGGGTCTCTCACCGGCGCCCCGAGGGGGAGGGAATCTTTGGAGCATCCCTTCGGGGTTTAGGGTTTAGGGTTTAGGGTTTAGGGTTTAGGGCTACACCCTAAACCCTAAACCTTAAACACTAAACTGCAAGGGAACCTGTGCAGTGACTCCACGGCCATACCCGGAAGGGCTCAGGGTTTCGCATTTCTCGCCTGTCCGCTGCGAGATGCCAAATCCCTCCCAACACCCCTAAACCCTACACCCTAAACCCTAATCCCTAAACCTTAATCCCCACATTTAGGGTTTAGGGTTTAGGGTTTAGGATTTAGGGTTTAGGGTTTAGGGTTGAGTGTTGCGAGGTTCCAAATCCCTCAGTTTGGCGCATCGCGAGGTCTGCTCCTGTCCGGAGCTGCCTCGGGCGGCTTCATGCTGGAGCGGCTCGGATGGGCATGGGGTTAGGGTTTAGGGTTTAGGGTTTAGGGTTTAGGGTTTAATCCGAGCACCTGTTTAATTGGGAGGGGTCCCCCCCCCCCCCGCCACAATAAGGAAGGCAGGGTTCCGCAATAGTTGGACCATGGCCCCGTGCGGTTTCTCTATTAAAAAACAATAAGAACGTATTGAAAACAATAGGAAACAATAGGACTGTAGGCTGAGTTTCAAAATTTTGCAACCCTCCCACAAAAAATTCTTTAAATGTGGGGGGTTATCTCCAGCCGAAATCCACCCTAATGGAAAGTAGTCTTCCGGCGGGCTTCCGGGGAAAAAAAATTTCTTTAAATCTCGGGGGGTTAATTAAACAGGTGCTCGGATTAGGGTTTAGGGTTTAGGGTTTAGGGTTTAGGGTTTAGGGTTTAGGGTTTAGGGTTTAGGGTCTAGATTTGAGGGTTGAGGTGAGGGTTTATGGTTTTAGGGTTTAGGATTTCGGGCTTAGGGTTTAGGGTTCAGGGCTCAACATGGGCCATGGAATGTTGTGTTGAGGCTCCAAGAGCTTCCATCCCCAAAATCCCTAAATTCCTACACCCGAAAACCCCTAAAGGCCCTCAACCCTCAACCCGAAACCCGAAACCCTAAGCCCCCTTAAGGACTACACCCCAAACCCGCCCTAAACCCGAAACCCGGTTCACAGCCTTCGCCGTGAGGTGGACTTGCCTGTCATAAGAACTCTACCCTTGCCTCCATCCCCCCCCCCCCCCCCCCTCCACGGCACCCTGCCAACCCCCTCACCACTTATACCCTCCAACGGAGCCCCGCCCCCGCCTCCTGCAGCTTGAATGTCAAGCAAGCCTCATCCCCGGTCCCTGAAATTTGGGGACAGTAAGGCTGAACCCTAGACTGTTTCCATAAACCCTCACTGAACCTGCGCCCCGCAAACCCTAAGACCTCAACCCTAAACCCTGAACCCTAAACCCTAAACTCTAAACCCTAAACCCTAAACCCTAAACCCTAAACCCTAAACCCTAAACCCATATTTCAAAGGCTTGGACCGAGCACGATCAGCCTTCTGCGAATAGCCCTCTACAAGCCACCCGGACTGCTTTGGGATCGGGGTTTGGGATTCAGGGTCTTTAGGCTTTGTGCTGGCAGTTTCAGGTTTATTGCTGGGTTCAGGGTTTAGGGTTTAGGGCTCAAGGAGTTCAAGGTTTAGCACCGCCCACCAGGAGCATGCTTTTCGGAATGGGTTGTCCGAGGGTTTAAGACCCTGGTGTGTGTGTGTGTGCGTGCCGAAAAACTTTGTACTCAAGGTTGTAAGGATTGCGCTTTCATTATCATTATTTTTCATATATGTATATGTATGTATATAAATATACACATACATACATACATACATACATACATACATACATACATACATACTTTTTTTTTTGGGGGGGGGGGGGGTAGTCTCGATTTCCAGGTTGCTTTGTGTCCATGTGCTTGTAAGCTTTCGGGTAGGTGAGGGGACTCCTAGACCGCTCCTGGGTGCCCCGGCTATCATTCTGAGTCTATCAATTGGGAGGTTTCCCCGTGTACTAGCAGTCCTTAATGGGGATTGTAGTACCCCCCCCCCCCCCCCCTGTTAGAATCCCTATTAAGGACTGCTAGTATAAGGGGAGACATCCCAATCTATCTAATGTAGAGTCCTCCACGTGGTGCTTAAGTTCAAACGAGAGATTCGAAACTTGGGGGCAATTTCTCTGGGGTGCCTAGGCGAATGCTAGTGTCAGCCCACTGTCCCTAAGCCCCGGAAACCTACATGCATATACGTACATATACGTACATATACATACATATACATACATATACATACATATACATACATATACATACATATACATACATATACCATGCATATACCATGCATCTGCATACATATATATGTATATACATACATATACATACATCTCATACATATATTCATACATATACATACACACATATGCACTGGCGAGGCCTTTCTACGTCGGGGATCTTGTCACACTCAACCACACTGGGGCATCTGGGATGCAGAATGCCCTCGTCGGCTTCGTCGCCGCTTGGTCTTCCACTGTTTAGGCTCTGTGCTTAGGGTTTAGGGTTTAGGGCTTACTTAGGGTTGAGGGTTTAATTTGGCTTTAGGGTCTAGGGGTTACAGTTTAGGGCATTATTATCTTCGTTTTGTTTGTTTTTGTGTTTGTCGGGGCTCTTAGGCAAACAGTAGTCTTCGGTTTTCCGCGAGGCGAAGTTTCACGACATCATTTGGCTTGGAAAGGTTTCGGGTTTCGCCTGTAGAGAGAGTCTAGAGTCTGGCATGTACAGAGTTCTTGTTTTACTTAGTTAGGGTCGTCTGGGAGTTTAGGGTGTGTAGGGTTTAGGGATAAGGGTTTAGGGTGTGTTGGGTGTAGGGTTAAGGGTTTAGGGTGTGTGTAGGGTCTAGGGTTTAGGGTTTAGGGTGTGTAGGGTTTAGGGTTAATGGTTTAGGGTGTGTAGGGTGGGGGATTAAGGGTTTGGGGTGTGTAGGGTTTAGGGTTAGTGGTTTAGGGTGTGTAGGGTTGTGGGTTAAGGGTTTGGGTGTGTAGGGTTTAAGGTTAAGGAGTTAAGGGTTTAGGGTGTGTAGGGTTTAGGGTGTGTAGGGTTGTGGGATTAAGGGCTTAGGGCCTAGAGTATGTCGTGTTTAGGGTTAAGGGTTAGGGATCTTTGGTGTTGAGGGCACGCAAGAAGTATCCTCTACGCAGATGTGGGGCCTTCTTTTGTTTTTGTACCTAAACCCGAAACCCGAAACCCTAAACCCTAAACCCTAAACACCCTAAACACCCTAAACACCCTAAACACCCTAAACACCCTAAACACCCTAAACACCCTAAACACCCTAAACCCTAAACTGTTCTAAACCCTGAATCCTAAACCCTAGGCGTGCAGGCTTGAGGTATTGGACTTGAGAGTTTGTTTGTTGCCGGGTCGGGTTTAGTGTCGTTTTGGGGTCAGCCATGTACCTTGGAATGTTCCCCCTTATACTAACAGTCCTTCATAGGGATTGTAGTACCCCTTTCTATACTCCCTATTCAGGACTGTTACTATAAGGGGGCACAGCCCAACTTTCAGGGTGCTGGGGTTGAGGGTTTAGGGTTTAGTGTTCATGTTTTGGTTCCGGGACAAGGGAGCTTCGGCATTCGCCCCAGGAGAACATCACCATGATGTATGTGGTGATCCGAAACTTCGAGATGAAGCAGGCACCCATACCCTAAAGCATGACGCTACAGCCCCATGCTCCCTGAAGCCTAATGCCCTGAAAGTGCAAAGGTCTCAAGCGATGAAAACCCCAAAGCCAAATGAACCCTAAACCTACCCTAAACCCTATAAACCCTAAACCCTAAGCCCTAAACCCTAAACCCTAAACCCTCATAAACTTTCGGCCCTACACCTTCAGCCCTAAACCCTCAGCTTGATCCGCCCCACGGTTTTCCTACCGGTGACGCCTGGGGTGTTGCGGTTTCGGGGGAGGGCAGGCCAAACCTTTTTTGTGGTCTGGGGCTTTGGTTTAGGGCTTCTTGGGTTGTGAGCCGCTAAGTGAACCCTAAACCCTAAACCCTAAACCCTAAACCCTAAACCCTAAACCCTAAACCCTAAACCCTAAACCCTAAACCCTAAACCCTAAACCCTAAACCCTAAACCCTACTGCCCTAAACCCTAGACCCTAAGTGAAACCCCCCAAGGCTAGTTCGCACGACCAAGGGCTTTTGCGCCGCAGGGTTCTCAGGGTTCTGCCCTTGCAAAGCCTAAGAAAGGCCTCTCCCAGGGTGTTGCCGTGTTGCGGTTCAGGGTTTAGGGTTTAGGGTTCAGGGTTCAGGGTTCAGGGTTTGGGGTTCTTGGTTTAGGGTTTAGGGTTTCTGGTACCCTGAAACCTAAACTTTAGGGTTCTAGGGTTGAGGCCCTAAATTTGGGATGTTCCCCCTTATACTAGCAGCCCTTAAGAGGGAGTATAGTAAGCCCCTATTATAATTCCTATCAAGGACTGTTAGGTAAAGGGGGAACATCCCAGCCCTAAAGCCTCAACCCGAAAGGCGTTGTGGATGATCATCGCATCGGTTTAAGGGTCTCGGTTTGAGGGATTTCTGGCTTCAGAAGGTTTGGGGTTTAGGGTTTAGGGTTGACTCCTCCTTGAACCCTAAAGGCCCTCAAAGTGAAGATACCTCGGCATGAGTGGCCGAAGTTGGCCTGCAGATCTTCAAATGCGTCTGACACTATCTGGAACCCTAAACCCTAAACCCTAAACCCTACACCCTAAACCCCAAACCCTAAACCCTAAACCCTAACCCTAAACCCTAAACCGTGGGGACTTTCGGAGTGAGTTCAGCTTCTTTTTGGTGGACACGTCTCTCTGCTTGTGTGGGGCGATGGGCCTTGCGATTGCTGGTCGCACTGTGGAACATGCAGCTTGGTTTAGGGTTTAGGGTTTAGGGTTTAGGGTTTAGGGTTTAGGGTTTAGGGTTTAGGGTTTAGGGTTTAGGGTTTAGGGTTTAGGGTTTAGGGTTTAGGGTTTAGGGGTTGACGACCTGCATTTGGTCACAGCGGGGGCGCAGAAGTTTCTGGTACTCTGCCCAAGCGCCAAACCCTGAACCTCAATACCCAAGCCCTAAACCCCAGACCCCTAAACCGAAACCCTAAGCCCGAACCCTGAAGCCCAAACTCCCGAACCCTAACCCTCAAATCTCCAAGCCCCGACAAATCCCTAAGCCCCAAACTCCTAGACCCCTCAACCCTCAACCCTAAACCCACCTGGGAGCACGAGGTCTGGGTCAGCCCAGAACCCTAAACCCTAAGCCCAAAACCCTAAACCCTAAACCCTAAGCCCTAAACCCTAAACCCTAAACCCTAAACCCTAAACCCTAAACCCTAAACCCTAAACCCTAAACCCTAAACCCTAAACCCTAAACCCTAAACCCTAAACCCTAAACCCTAAACCGTTCTGAACTCAGCAGCAAAGAAGAGGTCTGGGTCAGCCACAAGGCCTTCAACGAGCTGATCATCCAGAATTGGACTCGAAGGCTTCCACTTATAGGGGCTTAGGGTTTAGGGTTTAGGGTTTAGGGTTTAGGGTTTAGGGTTTAGGGTTTAGGGTTTAGGGTTTAGGGTTTAGGGTTCAGGGTTTAGGGTTTAGGGGTTTGTAAGGTCTCGGGTCTATAGGGCTTATAGGGTTTCTTGGGTTTATAGTTTTTTGGGCTTATAGGGTTTACACGGTTTACACTGTTTATAGGGTTTATATAGTTTTTCACAGGGTTTATAGGGTTGATGGGGTTGATAGGGTTGATAGGGTTTAGGCTTTATAGGGTTAAGGGTTTCCAGCGTTTAGGGTTTATAGTGTTTTGGGTTTAGCGTTTTTAGGGTTTAGGATTTAGGGTGTAGTTGGGGACTGAAGGGGCTTTAGGCTTTTAGGGTCTGAGGGCGTAGGGTTTTAGGGTTTTGGGGTTTGAAGGTAGGAGGTTTTGGGGTTTTAGGGTTTTCGGGTTTGTCAGGGTTTAGGGGCGGGAAAGGGTTTAGGGTTTGGGTTTAGGCTGCCCCGTATGCACTCCAATCCGCCCCAAAAAGAAGCCGTTTATTAAACTCTACGTGCCCGGTCTACCTTGCTGTGGGCCATAAACCCTATAAGCCCACCCTAAACCCTAAACCCTAAACCCTAAACCCTAAACCCTAAACCCTAAACCCTAAACCCTAAACCCTAAACCCTATATCCCCTGAACCCGAACTGGAAGCCAGGCCCACCAAGACGGTCCTGCTGAACATCGGGATCAGCACGCGCAGCCCCCTGCAGAAAGTCCAGAGGCTGCAGGCGGGGGTGAGGGCTCAGGGGTTTGCGGTCTGAGTTTAGGGGTTACGATACCTACGCACTTATGGGATATCTCTCCCAAAATAGGGTAACCCCTGATATATCCCCGAAATGCTGCAATCCTTACTGTAGGACCCTGGAGGACCCCCCACCCCAAACAAAAAGAAGTACCCATATGCTTGGAAACCTCCATATCATAGGGTTTATAGGCTTCCTGTTAGTAGGATGTAACCCCTTAGGGACATGGAGCTCGGGCTTAAGTTGAGGGCTGAAGTCGTGACCTCTAGCGCCTGACCGGGAGGAGTTCGGCAAGCGCTGGATCAAGGAGTCGCCGGACATTCAGCAGGACAACTACCAGACGCTCAGCCGCCAGAAAACCCCTAAAAACCCTAAACCCTAAACCCCAAACCCTAAACCCCAAACCCTAAACCCTAAACCCTAAACCCTAAACCCTAAACCCTAAACCCTAAACCCTAAACCCTAAACCCTAAACCCTAAACCCTAAACCCTAAACCCTAAACCCTAAACCCTCAACAACTACCAGTCGCTCAGCCGCCTTTTTCATCCCCAACCCTCAGGCCTGATGGGGCCTATCAGCCGTACATCAACTCGTGGGTTTCCTATCCGAGCACGCTCTCCTAAACCCTAAACCCTACACCCTACTCCCGAAACCCTAAACCCTAAACCCTAAACCCTAAACCCTGAACCCTGAATCCTAAACCCTACTCCCGAAACCCTCAACCCCACGACTGGGCGGGGGGGGGGGGGGTGGTAGGAACCCTAAACCCTACACCCTATACTCCCGAAACCCTAAACCCCACGAGGGGGGGGTGGTAGGACCCCTTGAAAGCTAAGGAAGTGCCACATCACGTCGACGAGCCCCCTGGCGTCACAAGAATCTCCCCTTTCTACCTCCGAAACCCTTCTCGGACGTAGGGTTTTAAGACTTGGCCCGGAACCCTAGACCCTAAACCCTAAACCCTGGTCAACACCCTAAACCCTTAACCCTAAACCCTAAACCCTTAACCATTAACCCTAAACCCAAAAAAGCCCTGTACTGTATATGAGGCTCCATATCCTCAACAACAAGCACACTCCAGAAGCTGCAAAGCCCCCCAAATGCCTAGCACAGATAGCGCAATCCCTTAGGTTGAGGGTTAGGTTTAGGGTTTAGGGTTTAGGGTTTAGGGTTTAGGGTTTAGGGTTTAGGGTTTAGGGGTTGACCAGCCACATGGGCCCTCTTTGCTTGCCTTCTCTTCCGCTCTATCCCGTGTCCCCGCGGGCACACATCACAATCCTAGATATTCTGCCCGCGTTGTAAATCTTCAAGCCCAGGATGCAGGATGCATGGTAGCTCCCTTATTCCCCATTTTTTTTTTTTGGGGGGGGGGGGGGGGTTAGGAGGGGGAGGGCCCCAGTTAACCCACAAGGGCGGCCTTTTCATACCTAGCCTAGTTGATTGGGCCAAGCCTACGTAGGCGTTAATGCCTCGACCAAGCAGACCATCGACTCAAGACCTAAAGCCTAACTCAGGGGGTTTAAGGTCTGATGCTCTCAGGTTTTTATCAGGTGTCGAGTTGCTCAGGGTGTGATCGGGGAGAAAGCCCATACACCCTAAGCATTCATCATTACTCCCCACAAAGAGAGCCTCTTAAGCTTCAACCCCGCAAATCCTGTCGAGAGTTCAGGGTTGGGATGTTCCCCCTTATACTGACCGTCCTTAGTAGGGATTATAGTAGGGCCTACTATAATCCCTATGAAGGACTATAACGGGGGAACATCCCAAGTTCAGGGTTGTGTTTAGCAAGCACTGAACCTAAAGAATCAAGATCCGAACCCCAACTCCCCAAACCTTAAACTTAAACCTTGGGGTGTTCCCCCTTATATTAACAGTCCTTAAAAGGTCTACTACCCCCCCCCCCCCCCCAAGCTAATCCCGATTAAGGACTGTAAGTATAAGGGGGAACATCCCAACTTAAACCCTAAACCCTAAAGTCTCGGCCTTGCACCCTAAACCCTAAACCCCGAACCCTAAACCCTCAACACCCTCCAGGGCCAGCTATGGGACCCTAAACCCTAAACCCTAAACCCTAAACCCTAAACCCTAAACCCTAAACCCTAAACCCTAAACCCTAAACCCTAAACCCTAAACCCTAAACCATAAACACTAAACCCTAAACCCTAAACCCTAAACCCTAAACCCTAAACCCTAAACCCTAAACCCTAAACCCTAAACCCTAAACCCTAAACCCTAAACCCTAAACCCAAAACCCTAAACCCTCAGCGAGGTAATGGCTACAACATCGAGATCATTTTCTTCCCCATGGTGGGCGTGTCCCATAGGTGGCCTGTGGATCCTCAGGATTTTTGTGGGTTTAGGGTTTTGGGGTTTAGGGTTTAGGGTTTAGGGTTTAGGGTTTTGGGTTTTGGGGTTTAGGGTTTAGGGGTTGAGGGGTTGAGGGGTTTAGGGGTTGAGGGGTTTAGGGGTTTAGGGGTTTGAGGTTTAGGGTTTAGGGGTTTAGGGGTTTAGGGGTTTAGGGGTTTAGGGGTTTAGGGGTTTAGGGGTTTAGGGGTTTAGGGGTTTAGGGGTTTTAGGGGTTTAGGGCTTGGGTCAGGGATGTTCAGCGTTCAGGGCTTCGTGTTCGAGGTTGAGAGCTCAGGGCTGTGTGTGTGTGTGTGTGTACAAGGTCCTTCGGTTTAGGTATCAGGGTTCAGGGGTTCAGGTTCTAGGACCCAGAGTAGGCCCTTACTCCCCTGTTTAGGATGCTGGGTTCCTTATGAGCCCCTGTACACCAAGAAGGGTACCCTTTTAACTCTGAGGCTACTCTTGGGTCTAAGGTTTAATGTCTAGGGTTCACTGTTCATTTGGCGTGAAGGATGTGGAGGTTCGAGTCTAAGGTTTAGGACTCAGGGTCTAGGGTCTAAGGTTGGGTCCTAAGGCCGCGGTTTCGAGGGTGAAATAGCCCTAAACCTTAACCCGAGACACTAAACCCTAAACTCTAAACAGGCAGATCCGGCAGAAGTTTCTCATCGCCTTCATGGAAGCGGCCCAGCGGCTGAATGTGCCGTTCGCCACCTGGCTTTAGCCGAAGGCCCCAAACACTATGCCTTAACAAGCTCTTGCCCAAACTTGCCCAAACCCCAAACCCCAAACCGCAAACCCCAAACCCCAAACCCCAAACCCCAAGCCCCAAACCTCAAACCCCAAACCCCAAACCCCAAACCCCAAACCCTAAACCCTAAACCCTAAACCCGAGCCCCAAGCCCTCCAACCCTGAAGCTAAACTCTTCTTCTTGTTGTCGTGGCAAAAGGGCTCCAAGATCCCTACTTGGAGGGTCATGGTAGTTTGTTTAACCAGTTATATTTGTACTTATCACTGCACCTATTATAGGGTTTAGGGTTTAGGGTTTAGGGTTTAAGGATATTACTGTACTTATAAACATATTAGGGCACTTAAGGGGGATTATGAGTGGGTTGTAAGTGCCGTTGTAAATGGCTCATGAGTACCATGAACCTCCATGTAAGGATCCATGTACCGAAATTGTATATCCTTGGGCCCGAAAGCTGCTATGTAGGAACCCCTTTCAGGCCCAAGTATAAAGTATATCTAAACCCTAAACCCTAAACCCTAAATCCTAAACCCTAAACCTGCATCCTCAATAAGAGCCCCCAAGGTCCCGCTCCAAATCGTGCAGAACTTCTGCGAAGACGTGGATCCAGGGGGCGTCGAGGCATCCTGGGCCTGATTTCATGGTGGGTAGCCCTAAACTCACCCTACACCCTAAATCCCTAAACCCCTAAATCCCTAAACCCTAAACCCCTAGAACCCCAAGCCCCTAAAACCCTAAACCCTAAACCTAAACCCTAAACCCTTCATAAACCCTAAACCCCTAACCCTAAACCCTAAACCCTAAACCCGGGGCCGGCAAGCCTAAAGACTCCGCAGCGCAAAGGGTCCCCCAGCAGTTTCTCGGGGCGTGGCGCAGAGGCATCGGGTTTAGGGTTTAGGGTTTAGGGTTTGGGGTTTAGGGTTTAGGGTTTAGGGTTTAGGGGTTCACCTGGCCTGCTTGAAGTGCGACTACGTAAATCAAAATGTAGCCCCAAAAAGCCAGCCTTTTTTTCAGGAAGTATGTAAAAAGAGATCGTAAGAAGGAGCTGTAACAGCTAGGGTTCCCCCACAGAATTAGGGGTATTTAGGGATAGCTAAGCCTAAGTAAGGCTATTTAAGGGGCGGGTAGTAAAAGGGGGCATGACCCCAAAAACCCTAACCCAAAACCCTAAACCCTAAACCCTAAGCCCTACACCCTAAACCCTAAACCCTAAACCCTAAACCCTAAACCCTAAACCCTAAACCCTAAACCCTAAACCCTAAACCTCTGTTTTGGGTTCCCTTTAGGATCCCTTTAACCAAGACTGCTGGCGCAGGCAATGTCGGCGGCTACCTCTGTTGCCAAGGACGCAACACCCTGCCCCAAATCGCAGCCTGCAGCGTCAAACCAAGGGTGGGGTTTAGGGTTTAGGGTTTAGGGTTTAAGGTTTGGAGTTTAGGGTTTAGGGTTTAGGGCTGGGGAGCGCGTGGGTTTATTGGGATTGGGGATTACACAGTTGAGGGTCAGGGCTAAGGCTGGCAGATTGTGGGGGTGGAGACGGGAGACCCTCACCACAAGACCGAAAAGCAGCCTCCACAACATCACCGCCTAGTTCCAAACCCGAAGCCCTAAGCCCCAAGCCCGAAGCCCGAGGCCCTAGGCCCTAAGCCCGAAACCCTAAACCCTAAACCTTCACCCTAAACCCTAACCCGCAACCGTAACCCCAAACCCTCAACCCTAAGTCCTAAAGCCCTGAAAGCCCCAAAAGCCTCAACCTCCAGCCATGGCAGGAGGTGGGGCTGGACGACCTGATGCCAGATCCGAACGACCGGCTGGAGAGGGGAAAGGAGTGATCCTGCACGAGGTGCGTAACCCTGAACCCCAAACTCTCAACCCCAAACTCTTTGAGAACCAGGAAGGTAGCTTAAAGCATGTAGGGGCTACCGGAAATTTGGTTTGGGGTTCGCAGGCAGTGTTTTGAAGTTCAGTTTATGGTTTTTGCGGTTTGGGTGGGGGATTGGGGATTTGGCGCTTGCTGGGTTCAGTGGAGGAAACCTCAGGACAGCCTGCGAGAGCCGGAATCCTGAAACTCCAAGGCCCCAAGCCCCAAAACTTCGAACCCCACTGTCGAACGCAGGGTTTAAGGTTTAGGGTTCAGGGTTGAGGGTTTAAGGTTTAGGGTTCGGTTTTAGGGTTTAAGGTTTAGGGTTTCGGGTTTAGGGTTTAGGGGAAGACCCGATAAGGTTTGCTGTGCAAGCGTAGAGCGTCGGCAGCCCTAATCTCTAAATCCAGATTCAGAGAAGACAGCTGTAAGCCTTAAGCTCAGGCCTTGTCTTGGTTTGGGAGAGGGGGTGTGGGAGAGTGTAAGGGCGGTGTTAGGGGGGTAGAAGGAGGGTATATAGGGGGTTATATGGGGTATATGAGGGGGGGTACGAGAAGGCCTCGGCGGAGCCCGGGTCTACTTGGAAGATCGGGGTGCTTGCACAACACCAAGGCACGAAAACCTCTCTCTGCACCCTGCGAATTGCAGGTGGTGGAGGATATCAGTCTCTCTGAGTGGCGGCGCGCCGATGTAAGACCGCAGAATTTTCGGGAATCCTGAATGCGACCACCGCTTCAGTGCGTTCCCCCCGCAATCCCCATTCCCCCGAAGATGGTCTAGCAAAGAAGCCGTTTTCATATCGACCCTTTTCAGGTAAAGAATCTATCCGTGTTGCGATAGACGGGTGCTTGTCTAGACCATACTCCCCCCCTCTGAGCAGCCGACCCACAGATGTGGGCACTGTTTAGATGGTCCGGGGATACTTGTTTTCCTTGCAGCCCCCTTGGGATGGGGGCGAGGGGGCCCAGCCATTGATTTAGAAGGCGCGCAACGCGGCATACTTCGGGGGTCTGGTGTTCCAAAGGGTTTTCGTAGGGTTTAGGGCTTAGGGTTTAGGGTTTAGGGTCTAGGGTGTTAGGGTGTTAGGGTTTAGGGTTTTGGGTTTAGGGTTTAGGGTTTAGGGTTTACATCTTAGGGGCAGCCCCGGAATGCTGAAGCCTAAAGGGGAGATGTCTTGCTGAGCTGTGGAGCCGCCTTGCAGAGAACCCAGGACCCAGAGTAGGCCCTTCTTGCCCCCTTTTTAGGGTTGAGGTTCTCTGGTTTAGGTTTAGGGTTTTAGGGTTTTGGGGTTTAGGGTTTAGGGTTTAGGGTTTGGGCTGAGGGTTTCCCGAGAATCCCCTTTAAGCCAAAAACGGGGGGGGGGCCCTTGGCATTCCCAGGTCACTCTTGGGGTCCAGGAATGCCGGTCTGTTCCTACGTTGCGGTGGCGGCTAAAAGCCCGAACCGCTCCACTGCGGCAAAACGATGCAAGGTTTACGTACTGGTCCTCGGTAGGGTTTAGGGATTGTTTCGGGGAATATAAGGTATTTCCGTCGTAGCAGACTCTGCCCTTGAGGGTTTCGAGTGAGTTCAATAGGGAGAGGGACAGGGACACGGAGAGGGAGAGGGGGAGAGGGAGAGGGAGAGGGAGAGGGAGAGGGAGGGAGAGGGAGAGGGAGAGGGAGAGGGCGAAGGAGGGGAGCAACAAAAAGAGAAGCCATTGCCCCGAAGAGGTTTGTGCGTCTGCATGCTCAAACCCTAAACCCTATACCGAAGCCCTGATGCGTCGACTCCAGATGCCTTTAGCATGAGCCGTACCCCGCAAACCTAAAACCTTACACCCCTAGTGTTTAGGTTTAGGATCCTTTAGAATCCTTTAAGACCTTATCCAAGGTTACTGGGGCAACTAAACCCTAAACCAAGACCTCAAACCCTACCCAACCTAAACCCAAGGTCGTGCTGGCATGCTGGTCCTGGCTTTGTTCGCCCTCGCAGCCTTCGCCGGCACCGCCTTCGTAAGCGCTCCCGCGCAGGTGCACTTCTTTCTGGGTTCATGCGGGGGGGGGGGGCTAGGTAACTAGGGACCGAGGGAACCCTAGAGAAGCTTATTGGGGGGTGGGGGGGGGGGGGGGGGGGGGGGAAGTACCTAGGGAACCTGAAAGAAACTTAGGGAGCCTTAGGGAATAGTGGGGAGTATTAGGGAACCTTGGTTTACCTGGGACCCTGTTCACTTACAGTTTTATCGGTTGTACCTACTAAAAATTGGGCATTTACTGCGAATCTGTAGGTAAACAGGGTCCCAGGTAAGCCCTAAACCCTGAACCCCAACTGCCTCAGGGCCCACTCGCTGTTCGTTTCTGTCATACGGAGCGGTTGTAAACCCCAAACCCTAAACCCTGACCTTCAAAACCCACAGCCCTAAACCCTCAATCCTTCAAAGCCCCGCAAACATCTTTGCTTCAATACTTATTGGGCTCTTAAGGGAGTCGAGTGCAAGGGTGGGGTACGAAACCCAAGTAAACCCTAAACCCTAAACCCTAAACCCTAAACCCTAAACACTAAACACCCTAAACCTTAAGGACCCCAGAAACAAAAAGTAGGCGGAGCACACGGCTGCAGAGATTCAGGCCAAGGCCCGCCAGGAACCCGGAGTTGAGGGTTTCAGGGTTTAGGGTTTAGGGTTTAGGGTGTAGGGTTGTGGGTTTTGGGTTCAGGGATGAGAAGTTCGGGAAATGCTTCGGGGCTGGGTTTGGGGTTTGGGGTTTGGGTTTTGGGTTTGGGGTTTGGGGTTTGGGGTTTGGGGTTTGGGGTTGGGGGTTGGGGGTTTGGGGTTTGGGGTTTGGGGTTTGGGGTTTGGGGTTTGGCGTTTGGGGTTTGGGGTTTGGGGTTTGGGGTTTAGGGTTTAGGGACTTCTTTTTGTTACTATATATATGTATATTTATTGATTTTTTTCTTTTGTTAAAGAAGGTTAGCCTTTTTGGGCTAGGGTATTCAGCCCCTAAGACTGAGCAACCAGGACCCAGAGCAGGCCCTTATTCCCTGTTTGCAGGGTTTGGGGTTTGGGGTTTAGGGCTTGGCCCCAGAGTAGGCCCTTCTTCGGGCTTCGGCTCCCTTGTAACGCCCCTTTTAGTCAAAAGGGGTACCCCCTTGAATTCCCAGGTTACTCTTGGGTCTAGATAATGGCCATAGACCCTAGACCCTAAACCCTACCCTAAGCCCACTGTGAGCCCCAAGCATCCCTTTACCATAGAACCAAACTTGGAGGCTCAGGGAACTTCTTACCCCAATTCTATATTATAAATCCACCAGCCCTAGATCCGGAGTTTCTAAGACTCTATAATCCAAGGACACCCAAGGCCCCAAGCCCTTAGCACTCTACTCGAGGGTTCCGAGTAATTTATGAGCCCACGAAATGTAGACCTCAAAGCCCCAAGACCCTGAAACCCTCAAAATACCATAAAACCCTAAAACCCCAAACCCTAAACCCTAAACCCTAAAAAGCCTAAACCCCAACTTTTCTAAAGCCCCCCAGAGCGTAGCCCGACTCCACCAACGCCCAAGGCCTGGACCGCGCAACTGAGGTGCACGATTTTGATTTTTGGGTGTTGGGGTTTAGGGTTTAGGGTTTGGGTTTGGGGTCTGGAGGCATTTAGGGTCTGCGCGAGTTTGGGCGATTCGGGGGGCTCGGGGCCTAAGCCTAAGCCCTAAGGCCTAGACCCTAAACCGTTCAGTTGTTGTTAAAGAAGCTTAACCTGTGGACTCAGTGCTCTCTGGACTTTCATGTCATCGACATGAGACTCCAAGAGCTTGAGGTTTCAGGGTTTGGGTTTGTCTTCCGCGCTTGATGCAGCTGCAGACTGAGATGTGTCATGTCCCGCTGCGACAAAAAGAGTCGCTTGATGAGGTTTAGGGTATTTCCCAACATCGGGTTTAGGGTTTAGGGTTTAGGGTTTAGGGCGGTTGAAGGAGTGGGAGGAGGCCAATGCACTGGCTCAGAGAAGCCATGGTCAGTGGAGACTCGCCGAGGCACGCTACACGGAGCCTGGTGATGCGTTGAACGTGGCACAGACCCCGGCGTCTTTGGCGCGAGCTGTTTTCGGCCTTGCTGAGCAAAGAGCTGCAGAGGATTTAGGGTTTAGGGTTAAGGGTTTAGGGTTAGGGTTTAGGGTTTAGGGTTTCGCAACTGTGAAGTGGAGTGCACAGAGGCGAGGCGGGAGAACATCAGGCTGGAGAAACTTCGCAATCGGCACGAGAAGGCGTTGACTGAGGTGTTCCAGAGACTGCTGACAGATGCTGGTCAGGGCTTTGGGGGTGTCAGGGTTGAAGATGTTCGGGGTGTGGTGGCTGCTTTTTCTTGTCTGAGAGGTGTCTTGGCAGTTGTTCAGTGGGCAGTGGGCTTAAGCCCTGAAGCCCTCAACCCCGAAGCCCTAAGCCCTATAAATCCTAAAAACTCTTCTTAAGCACTCAGGCCCACCTATAGGGTTCTTAAGGGAGGGGGCCGTTCATGGGGGGCAGGTACCTAGGGAGCCTTAGTAATTCGGGAAGCCTAGGGAGCCTTGGGGAGTAGTGGAGATTACTAGGGAACCTTGGGTCACATACCATAAGCCCTAAGCCCTAAGCCCTAAGCCCTAAGCCCTAAGCCCTAAGCCCTAAGCCCTAAACCCTAAACCCTAAACCCCGAACCCTAGACCCTAGACCCTAAACCCTAAACCCCCCCTTCTCCCTTAAGAACTCGATAGCCCCCACGCTGTCGCGGATCCTGTTGCAGATGGCCATCCTCGGCGCAGTCGCTGGTGCTGCCCCGGAGGTCGTCGAGGGATCTCTTGGGGTGCTGGTGTTGAGGGTTTAGGGTTTAGGGTTTGGGGTTTAGGGTTTAGGGTTTAGGGTGTTTGTAGGGTACAGAGAGCGGGGTTCAGGGTTTAGGTTTTAGGCTTTAGATTTTGCAAAATTGAGGTTTGGTATTTCGGCGATACCCAGGACTGAGGGGTGGAG